ATACAAGCTCAAGCTCATTTCCCATTCATGATCTCTATCATTTTTAAAGGTTTATTTTGGGGCTTTTTGCCTTCATAGATAGAACAGAGGATGGAAATCGTAAGAGAGAGTGGGGAACTACATGTGGGAAAGGAGCCAAAGGTCTGACTTGAACCCAGGCCGCCTGCTTAAAGGACTATAGCCTCTGTACATGGGGCACAACCTAACCACTAGGCCATCTGTGCCCCAACTGTACCTTTTCAAAATGAATGAATATCAAGAAAAGAAAAACAGGAATTTTCTCTGTTTATATCTGGCTCTTCCTGGACAGTGATTAATATCCACTGAAGCTTCAGACCTCAAACTAGGTGGGTGGCTGTGGCTCAGTTGGTAGAGTCATTACCTCTCAACTGGAAGGTTGAGGGTTCAATCCCCAGCTGGGTAACATGTCCGATGTGTCCTTGGGCAAGTCACTTAACCATGCATTGCTCCCACTGCTTCATGGTGGTGTATGAATGGATTAGTGTGTTGTACTTACTCTCTGATGTACATCACTTTGGATAAAAGCATCTGCTAAGTGAATTGTAACAAGCTAAGAGAAGAAAATATAGAAAAAGCAGGATTCACATTTGTAAGAGTTTATTTTTCACAAGTGTACAAAAGAAGTCGGGAAAATTCAAAGTAAATCCAAACTGTTTAAGTACTGAAAAGTGAAATATCCCTGGTATAGCAGTGTTATATCATTGTATGACAGAGACATCATGCATCAACAAGAAAGGGCAGTTTCATTACATCACTTTATTCACTATTTGGTTGTTTAGTCTGTTATACATCTTTTAGGTACCATAGTTTTACATTATTACGGTATTGAAAAACATCATATTTTCTTTGAAACATAAAAGGGTAGAAGCATAAAGAAGTAAAAAATAGAAAAAGTCAAATACATCTTAAACAATGTAATTACTTTTCACAAGTTGAATCCCCATATTTTGCATAATGGTTTAAAGCAACAACTATAAGGACTTCTGTATATGACACAGGCTCTTAAGAAAACAACGCAAGGAAAACAAATGAAAGAAGTTTCATTTTTTGTTTTTTTCTGTATAAATCTCAGTAAGTTGATTTTAGCTTCGTCCTGCAAGCTTCAGCAGGAATTTCCTCAGACTGATGTCAACACATATGGGCTTCCTTCTGTTCTTTACATGCAGTCTGTGGACCAAGAAATGGAGGAAATGATGTTAAAGTTGAACATAACAGAATAATAAATATGCTTCATATGTAATCTAACTGAAAGAGTGAAATGAAGCACAATTGAATGGTCTTTAAAACTTACATCAGTGCATCGATGTCACAGGCACTGTTGTGTTTCTGCACCTTCCACTTTCTAACTCTCCGCAGCATACTTGCAGAGATTTCCTTTTGTGTATTGATGCAGCATTTTGGGATGCCGGCTGCTACATGGAATTGGTTTTCATGTAAAGATGGTTTGAAAAGAAGAAAGATATGATAACTCATTTTGTAACAAGAATAAAACTATAGCTTTAAACCTACTATAGACAGATGCATTGCATTTCCTTTATAATACCTAAGATATTAAGATGTGTACTAATGTTGACTGCAATATACAATACTTAACTCAAAGCAACACCTGAATGTTGCTTTGAGTTAAGTTGGGTTTAGAATATTTTAACAGATAAAATAAGAGAAAATCTGAGCTAAACTGAAGGCAACAGTGTCTGCAGAAGGATGTAAATAGTTTTATCAGAGTTAAAACTCATGTTCTGTCTTAAAATTGTTCACATCCTCTAATGTCCTTAAAAAAATACATGCATACTCTTTTTTAATGTTAAAGGTCAATGTTAACAGAAACATGCAACTCTATCCCTGTTGACAATAGTGTACATTTTTAGTTATGTTTCCAGCATACATAAAAAACGGTTATCACATTCATGTACTCCCCCCCTAAAAAATATTTAAACTTCTCATCTTAAATAAGAGCATGTTCAACTTCTTGATTTTTAATGAGAAATTGTCAAAACAAGGGGCTTCTTACCATCAATCGCTGTGATGACAAATGCAAGCAGACACACAGCAACAAAGAAAACTTTCACATCCATGATTGCAGAGCGAGTGAGCTGACAAGATGTGTGTTTTCTGTTTAAGTACAGGGGCTGAACACACGCAAACACCTCTGCACCCACCCATTCATGTTCAGAGGCAAGCGTGTGAACATGTGCTCAAACTGTTTCAGTTGTTCAACTGTTTAGATCATTAACCCCAGGTGAGTTAAACGTTATAATGAAAACAGATTTTACTTTCATTTTGAACCTGACTCTTTGTTCAAACTTGATGAGTGTATGGTACAGGTATGCTCTTTGGACGTGCTCAAACAAGCTTAATAACCACTCTTCCTAATGGCATCCTATTTGATTGACGGATACAGAATCTTAACTCGACAAGTTTAACACTCACTGGCACGAGAGATATAGGATATAGGTCACCTCAGAAAATGATGAAGACTAGCATGAGCAAAGACATGTAGGTTTTTAAACAGCCTATAAAAACTTAACATTTTATTCTTAAAGCTATAACATAAGTCTGCAGGTATTGGTCAAGACTTAATTGACAAGATTTCAGGCAACAAGCAGCGGCGTGTTTAGGAGGGTGGCCTAGAAATGTGGGTCCCCCCCAGGTGCCACCCCAAAAATCCTGAACTATTTGGCTATTTGCTCTGTCAGAGGCGGGACTTATGTTAACTCTTAGGTCTTTTTTTGCAAAGGTTGCTTGTATTTTTCTTTACATATCAATATAGCATATTTTCTTTTCTTTTTTTAACTTTTAATTGTAAATAAAAACTTTGCTCATCTATTAAATAAGACAGGTGCTGGGAAGATAATGCACAACCGTCATACATGCAATGAACTGGCAATGTGTTGGGGCCAGAACATAGTTCTGCCATATACATTTTTAAAATTGTGACTTTGAACATACATCTTCTTTTTGGGTTATTAAAAAGTAAAGCTAATTGCGCAGTTTTCTTGTGTTAAGACTCAGTAGCTGAGTTAACATTTCGCAATTATTATGTTCTCAGGTGTGGTTTACAAACCTCAGATCACGTTGTGCAATTTTCCAGAACATACAACCAAACATGTTATTATTTGGTTTACAAAAACATCGAATTCTTCCCTTGGGGATAAATGGCAGAATTACCTCTGTGGTGTCTATTGGAAAGTGGGAACGTTGGAAATGTGGTAGCAGTTAAAGCCAAGTAATAAAAAGTGTCTGAATGGTATTTGATTTGTTATTCAATTTCAGCACGCAAAAGTGAAATAACCCAGATCCCATGTTAAGCCGTCAAATCACAACAACTACTTTTTTTCTCTTCTGTCTGAGCCAGTTTGACTCTAATGTACTCTAATGTTCTGGATGTACTGCTGCGTCAAAAGAAGTACTCGCTATCTGCTTGATCTAGATTTAATGTTCAGAAAGAAAGAATCTGACACAGCAGCTGTTCTCACACAAGCTGAGGCTGATCAGAATGTCATTGCATTGCCCAATTCAAGTTTTAATGAATCATGGCACATGTAGAAAGAGCATCAATAAAGCAATTGCAATTAATCCACAGAGAGAATGAATTAGTGTAGGAATGTCTTAGTGATTATTGTCTTTTACCTGCTCTTTTGTAATATTAAATAACAAACAGTAAGGCAAGTAAGGTGTTTTATCTGATTTTTGCAAAGCACCTCAAGATAACACTTGTTATGAATTGGCACTATACAAATAAAGATTGGTTGATTGATTGATTGATTGATTGATTGATCATTCCAACCAGTACAATATTGAGATTTTTCACTCAACCCAAACACGTCAACATCTTGGTGATGTCATCAGGAGAGACTCCTCTAAATACATCCTCTGGGAACTACATATGTTTGTACAGAAAGTACAGAAGTCAATCTGGTGTTGAGATGGATCAAGTTGTCTGTGCAAATTCCTATTGCAACTCATCAAATTCAAGTTGGGATAGTCTACAATTTATATGACAGATAATTTTCTGAGTTTGCTCAAAATAATTATCAAACAAGATGTGCAGCACAAAAAAGGGTCATACTGCCAAAAGTGAAGAGAGGTATAATAACAACGCCATTTGACTATGCTTATTGTGTTAATGGAGATCCTGATGAGCATCAAGAAGATTTTCAGGCCCTTTGTTTACATCATGGCCTCTATATTGTTTCAATGTCTGATCAGGTTTCAAATGAAAATGAATCAACTGAGGAGCAGAACTTTACTATAGCTGACTGTTGTCACTTTGGTCTCTCAAACTGCTAAAGTTAAATCTTTGAATGTGACACGAAACATTAGATGCATCAGACGGATTAACAAACATTTTTTAGAGGGCGCGTCACACAGGATTTGAATCAGCCGGACAGGTAACTGTCAAAATCAGGGAGTTCCTGCCTCACATCGTTAATAAACCGCAGTCACAAACCGTTCCCTGGCACAAACATCGACTTTCTATTATCACACACAAAGTAAAGGCACAGCTGATGTCACACACAGTGTCATACAAACACTGTCAATTTCTGTTATATGCTTTATGTTATATATTTATGTTATATGCTAAAAGATTTGCTGGACTCTTCTACAAGTAATCCATAGCAACCACCCTTTTATAAACTTTAAGACATGGGAGAATTTAGTCTTCTAAATCTTCTTGTGCTCATTACATAAATTGAGCAAAGGAAGCTGTCAATCACAGCATCCAAACAAACGGTTTACTGGAAAACTCTAGTGCAGGTTCAAGTAACCAAAACTGATTTCACCTTAACGGTTTTTATAGATGATATCTCTTGCCAATCTTGGGAAAAAAGCCATTCCTGTCACTCTCACACTTTCTATCACACACACACACACACACACACACACACACACATGCAGATACAAGATAAACATCAATGAATCACAATCCTTGTGTAATTATTTCAGCTTGTACAGGAATAATGAGAACAGACAGCAGATGTTTTGGCAGTGATTAATTCTGTATTTTCGGAGATTTTAAATTTTCTACAACACAAAAAGTAACTGCTCCAGCATTTCAACTGAGCTGTTTCACATGGATGTCGCTCTACGTCTTATTTACAGTGTTCCCTGCTTTAACACAAGTAACTGAAGTTATCGCTCAGGCATGTTATAGAATAGAATTTTGTTTACACTATGTGCATAAATATATACATTTCTAAATTGGAAATAAACATATATTCTAGTCATTTCATACATATAGCCATACTTGAATTTACCTCTTCATCTGGATGAAGAGTAATTTACTTTAGTTGAAATTATTCTCCCTATGGGATCTTAAATGGTCCTTAAACATAAAGAAAAATCCCAGCAGGAGGGAATAAGAGTGAAATAACATTGAAGTGGGTTTTTATTGGTTCAAGGTTTTATCTCTAGGCTTAAATTGGAACATGAATGATCTGCATTTTGTCAGTATCAGTCTAGTACTCAGTCTGTCCTCTGTTGGCCACATGCAGCAGTCGCAGCAGCATGTCTGCAGCCGAGCTCCCTGCATGATTGTCGGCAGGATCTGAGGCCTCAATCCCCCCCAGGCAGTCGGAGTCCACCACACAGCTCTCTGAAGAAGAGGGGGGGAGAAATATTTCAGACTGTGCCAATCCACCAAATATCATAAGAGTCGTGTCTGAGCATGACGGTAAAAACAATTAAGCCAGGCTGTACCTGAGTTGCAGCAGACTCCTGAGGCAGCGCAGCGTCCGCCCTCAGATCCACAGGGTCTCCCTCCCGCCTGGCAGGGGGTGAGCAGGTAGTTCTCCTCCACACAGTGGGCTGTTTCTGGGGAGCCCAGCAAGCAGCCGAGACCCTCTCCACAACAGATACTGGGGCCAAAACAGCGGCCCCTGTCTCTGGGGCCACAAGACATGCACTAGACAAGAATAGGTAAAATAATCCTCAATCACATTCAATAAATCCAGGTGATTTGTTTTGGAACATGATTACTTGTGTTTTGTTAAGTTTTTACAAAAATACATTTTATTTTGATCATTGCAGGACTATGTGTTCTAACATTGCATTTTATACATTTTCAGTCAAAAGTTCATTTTTTATGCAATCACACTCAAACAACGCTTATAATTGTGGCATGCATATTTTTTTAAACCACTTGCATCCCGATATACAATTTTGATTTGGCCTCTCTTTAAAAATGTCCCTTTTAACCCCACAAGCTTTTCATGAATACACATAATGAAAATGTCATGCATTAAAACATATAGCCATCTTTTGAAAATACAAACAAACTCGTCTGTCAAATACCTTAGATAGCTTAAAAATATATATATATATTCTACTTTGCTAACAAAATAAAGTTATAATGTGCTATGGTGCAATCTCTCATTCCGTTTTGGGTGAATAGAAAGTCTTAGTTTCTCTGCACACGTCTAAAAGAAACATTAGAATTAAGGTTGACATCATAAAATTCTGGTGCATTAATTTTCAAAATGTAAAAAAAATAAAAAATGAATACCTCAATTTCTTAGTTGAGATTTCATTTTCAGATCTTTCAAAGAAAATTACTTTATAAAGTAGAATAGTCTCAAATACTGCTCGGTGAAATTTCAAATCCATATAATAAAAGCAAAGTCAAAAGTTATAGAGAAAGGGGATAATTCTCCTCACCTGTCTGATCCCAGTCTCCGGCAGGGCTCGCTTCCCTCCTCGAGGGCAGTTCTGAATGTAGCACGCGGAGGAGAGCGCGAGGAGTCCCAGGACGCACAGGGGTATCACGGAGTTAGGCATCGCTGCTGCTGGTGTTGGATGGGATGAAGGTAGGATGTCTGACTGATGTCCCGGTCGATCTCTCACTTATAAGCAGGTGGACATGATCTGACACTCTGACGTCACGGTCGCACTCCTCTGCTTTCCTACATGCACGCGCGCCTGAAGGCCACCAGCGTTCGTGCGGCGTGTGCGCGAGGGGGTCACAGCAGATATGGCTCTGCATCAGATGTGTGCCATCTAACAAATGAACCAAAGAAAACATGCAGTTTATGTATTCAGCTCTGCGCCACACTTATTTGGCGTAACTATTCGGGGGCCCACAATAAAACGGCTTGACATGAACAACTAATCAGCGATGTGGACATCTAATTGGATTAACAGCAATAAGCGACGTGATTAAGCACATATCCTGATCATCACGCGCAATTCATCTGCCAAGCCAATCACTGAACGACAGTCATTTCTCTCTTGGCATCACGACAGCCTCGAGGTCGTAGAAATTATCCTCCTGATATCATTTAAAGAATATTAATTAGCATAACAAAATTAGAATTTCAAATAAACACAAATATCTGGAGTTCAGTATTCCGTTTGGTGTCTGGTTGCATGCCTGGGGTTGTGTGTTAACAATTAGCAGGTAGGCTGCAGATTAGTAAGTTAACGATGCACAAAACTGAGCATCAGAGGCAGCAGGTTAAACTGTGGAGGAGTTTTCTTTTGTTAGCACAACACTCAAGATTGTTCCTTTGATAAAGGGGTTGTGCTTTATTCCAGTCGTTATGAAATTGAACCCTACCTTGAAATTCTTGAACATTAAGGTGTGCTTCAATAGAAACAGCTCTTGCATCTGTAAAAAATCTTGAATAAAACACAACTTAAAGCCGGCATAAAACTGAAACAGTGAAGCCAACTATTCTCACAACTGATTATGTTAAATTAGTCAATTAGACCGTAATGTTAGTAGTAAATATCACTCCATATATAAATATCGCTTAGAATGTAAACACTAAATCACCTATACCACTTGCAGCACAAACAGAGGAGCTGATGTCTCCTTATCACATGCAGAACTTATCCCAGTCTTTGCTCTCACTGAGCGGATACAGGATCATGACCTGAGTTACGCTTTTTGTTGTCAGGGAAACCAACAAATAAATGATCCTGTTTATGAATGAGGTCAAAAGAAACGTGTTTCTTCTTGTCTGTTTAACCCTTTTGTGGGAGCAAAACCAGACCCATGAAAGGAAGTTTATGTGAAGTGAGAAATGAATACTGGAGGAAGGGCACAATTGAAGACTTTCAGCCTATGCAGGAAAACATTGTGCACACATGTTTCCTCACAACTGACCTTACAGAGAGAACAGTAAAATAGAAGTGTATAAATGTATGTATAAAAGTAGATGGAATATATTGCTTTTTCTTAAATTCTGAACTGATAAAGACATGCCACTACACAGATTCATCCCAGCATGTGCAATTTAATACAAGTGAAAAAACACATTACAAGAGTGGTACATCATCAACATCTTGTTTTCCTTTGTTAAATGATATGCTGCCTGAAATTATACAGAGATGTGTTAAATGTAAAGTGGTGAATCTGGTGAAGAGGGACGGAGCAGAAGGTTGAGCATGTCCCTCTCTGTTTCTGCACAAAGACCAAACAGCCTTGAGTCGACTCAATTTCCGTTGAAATGTTTCTGGCCTCTTGCTGTCCGTACTCACGTCCCCCAACCTTTTTCTTTGTGCGTCCTACCCATCCACAGTCTGTACCAAGGCTGCAGAACCAAGGCTGCACCTACACAACACTGCTCGGTGAAAGGGAGAGGGGGTGGAAGGAAGAGAACAAGTGTTTTTTTTTAATATTCTTCAGCTTTTTATTTTTTTATTTTTAGAAATATCTTTGCCTTCAGTGAGGTTCTGTGAGCAGTGAATAGTTTTTTTATATCCTATTTGTAGCTTCAAGGCTCCAAGCACATTTCAACACATTCACTGCTAGACGCGAAATAATTATCACATGTGAGTAAGTGGATATGATGATAAAAAAAAAAAAATTCAGGCAATTCAGTGTAACGTTTGAACAATATACAGGATAATCTAAGAATCATCAGACATTATTTACATGTTTACACATCTTTAAATAGAATTCACCATCTGTACATTTTCTTTAAGCACAGCCTAGGCCCTAGACAAAGAAACCTTGAGTTCAACGGTGTCCTCACCTTTTCAACAGTCTTGATTCATCACAGGCTCTGACATGTAAATGTGCCCATTTGAGCGTCAGTCAATGATGCACTCTTGTTATGTCACCGCGCGGCGTAGGGCTCAGGCAGTTAGGGCATGAGACATGATTGGAAGTCGATTCAGTGGCAGAGTTGAGTGGTTGTGATTTTCTCCGCAGGCAGGACCCGCAGAGCAGGTGGCCACAGGTTAGACGATAGACGCATGACACAGGTTTGGAGTAAACCGAGATGGAACAGGAACAATTGGAGCATGTCTTGTCACCTGGCAAGCAAATATGAGGGAGAAGTCATTTACAGTTAATAATCCTACACATTAGAAAGTCATTTCAGTTGTTAAATGTTGTAAATTAAGTCTCTAGTTTACTGCCTTTCTTTCAAACTCCCACATTTATTCTTAAAAAAGAATTGGTTCAAATCCTGATGAACTTTTTAAACTAAATGTTACCAAATGAGCAGCATCAAGCAGGCTACAGAGTAATGACAGAGCTGTTCCTCTGAATACTGAATTAGTGAAAAACAGCCCTTAAATAAAGAATGCAACGGGCTGTGTTGTTGGAGACATTTTGCTTCCAGTTTGTGGAGAAGAACAACACGTAAAATCGAAGGCTTTGTTGATTAAACTCTGCATTGAAACCTTTAACGTGATCGATATGAGAAAGAAGCTGATCAGTTTGTTACCCTGGTTTAAAATCACAAGGTAAATAGCAGAAAAATGACAGTAATGTTACAAATAACATACACCAATGAGCCATAACATCATGACCCCCTGTGCAATTATATTTATATCTATTATGGGAGTCTATTTTGGGGGTGGTGTACTGGAGTGCATTAAATAGGGTTAGATAATGCTTCAGAAGTTAATATCATTTTTTTTAGATCTTCCTATACGCTAAGTAACGTCTCAATCCACTGATGTCACAGCACCTCAAAAGGTTAACGATACAACCTTAACTACAAACAACAGTTTTGACATGTACAGAATGTGATGTCTTTGGACATTCAACTGATTTGAATGCCCCCCTCCCCAATTTATCACCCAGTTATTTTTCCTTCATTGGTTTGTTTTGTGTTATTTCTTTCTTTGTTGTGTTTTATTTCATTTTTGCTCCACTGTTAAGTGTTCTTGGGGTTCTTGAAAGGCGCTATATAAATACAAGCTATTATTATTATTATTAGGGTCGAGTCTTATATAGAAATAGGGCACATAGAAGTCTTACCTCTTGGCATGTTTAGGGTGCCTGCAGTCTGAGCGTGCAGCGAGGTGCTCAGTGGTTCAGAGTCATTTTTCTGCCGGGACAAGTTCATGGTGAAGGAGGGCCGGCCCTGCAGAGCGGAGAAGAGAGCCTCATCCAGGCTGGCCGACAAACGCTGCTCATGAGAGTCGCAGCTCGAGACTTCAGAAGTATAGTGAGGGAGCAAATATGGACACAACAAACATGTCAGGCACAGGAAGGGGGGTGGGGGTGGGGGGGGGACATTTAAGATTGAGGGTCTGATTTTGACAAAACATATTTTACTCACCTGAAACGGTGTCATTTTTTGCTCTTTTTGTTTTCTGCAGTAGTTGCTTGTCACTGTTCAGCTCCTCTTTGGACTCTTTGGCTATATCACTTAGATCTCGTTTCCTTCTCCCTTTAAACTCTGAATCAGTATCCGTGGTCAGAGGCTGGGAACTAAATATGTGAATCCCGTTTTCTAAAGAGTATCCTAAACCAGTCTCTTCTTTTGTCGGGATTCTATTTGAGTTCCTGTTGCCACCATTATAGTCAACACCAGCACTGTTTATCGAGTTTGTATTATGACTTGGAGACTTCTGGGTCTGTACAACCACCTCGGATGCTAAAAGTCTGGAGACCTGGGGATTCTCTCCCTCCCCTTGTCCCCCCAACATGCCATCCCTTCCCATCATCCCTTTCTGCAAGAGAAAGAGGTCGATGCGGCTTTTCAGTTGGGGGTTAGGAAGAGGCTGGGAGGTCGAGGTAAATGGGACGCCAGTGAAGGGGTCATTTGGGGGTCTACCCCAAGTGGCTTCTCTCTTCTGGTGCTCGTCCAGTGTGCTGTTGTCCACTGACACACCGCTGGGCAGCAGCATGGGCAGCATCATTACCTCCTGGGTTATCGGGTCGAGGAACTCCTCTGGGACGGAATGATTGCTGGAGTCGGGCAGAAAGTCAACAGATAATTAGAAATATTTTCGAAATCAATAATTGAAAGCTTTATGATAGGGGCTGATCAAATAGTATGATCTGGATAACAATTATCCTAATATGGAAATCTTTTTTTTTTTTTTTTCTACCCAGGATTAGGTAATAAGGTTTTTCCCATTTTTTCCTAAGAAATTGGATATGATCTATTGTTTTCAAATAGACTATCAAATCAATACCAGTGCTCTAAATTGGACAACATGCTACATACTTTGTCCACAGGGGGCGCCAAATGCACACAAACCAAAAGATCCAGACAGTTGCTTTTATTAAATATGTTGAGCTCTCAAGTGTAAAATATGGTAAAAGTATCATGGGCCTAGTGGTTAGTGCGCGTACCCCATGTACAGAGACTGACTAGGATTGGATTACCTGAACTTATCAAATCTTTTTATCCTTTCAATCCATTTTCAAATGTTGATCCAATCTGATACCTTTAATCAGATCAGATTGCTTTTGGACAACTGGGATGAGGGGATCCTATAGATGTCATTTTCAGTAACACATACCTTGTAGGTTTGGCAGCTTGTGATGCCGTTATTTTTTTGCTGACAGAGGCGGTAAATAACACAGGGGCTGGCAGTTGTCTTTGATTGGCTTCATGGACTCTTTTAATCCTCTCCACTTCTTCTGGAGGACAGCAGCGAGCAGGTTGTCCCCAAACAACTAAAGCCTTCAACCCCAAAGCTGAGGCTGCACCGCCGAATGGCACTGTGACACGTAGTTGTGTCACAGCACCCAACGAGGGCAGACCCCGGCTCCACAGCTCCTCTTGGCGACAGTTTGCAGGTTGAGGAGGGGGCAGGGATTGGGGCCGGCCGCCACCATTACTTAAACGTGCGAAACAGACGCGTGTCTCCTCCCTGAGCTCGCAGCGACCGACCAGTTTGAACTCTGGTTCTGGATCACTGGATCCAGTGTTTGAATGGCACTTCAAAGCATGGCCTTTTTGTTGAGGATCATCTAGAGTCTGTTCCCCCCACTGTCGGGCCTGAACACTCCACTGGTTCCCGTTAGTCTGCCGAGATTTACAGTCACGCTGTTTTTTTCCTCTCTGTTCTTTCTGGTCCTTCATCTGCGTTTGCTCCTTTTGCTGAACCTGTTTGTGTTTATTATTGTCAGAGGGTAGTGGGTCAGAGCTGGTGCTAATCTCCAGTCTCTTGCAGGCCTGTCCTCGGTCCATACCCCAGGGCCACAGCTCCACATCAACCCTGCACAGCTCCACCTGGAAGTCAAACTTCAATGTCACCTGGGGAAATAGTATGCATCATTAGTGTTTCCGCAGATTCAAATCACTTATTAAAAGAACATTGTTTGGGTTTAGTTAAAAATAACAGAACTGCACTGCCATTCATTTAAAACGGATTTTCTGATAATATGAGACTGAGTCTAGCCGTCTTTTTAAAGAGGGATAATAGAGAGGTAGAAACTTCTTGTTCTTCATTACCAAAAAATGTAGACAAACTCTTGCACACTGTATGGAGTTCTGGTACAGAAACGATGCCAACATAAATGATCACCTTGGACAGTGCTCTCTCTCTCTCTCTCTCTCTCTCAAGATTATGACTGAAGATCTGCAGTTTGTTTTCTTCATTTTTCTAAGCTTTGGTACTTGTTGATACTATCGATCATTCAAATAACAGAGATTTTATTGTTTTAGAACATGTGGTATCAAAATATATAGATGTATTGAAAACATTTCAACAACTTTAGAAATGACCCATACAGTATATTGATCCTTGACTCATGGAAGAGATACTATGCTATAGCAAAGTTTCAGGAGCAGGACCACACCTCTTTTGGCATTCAGTCTGTTAGAATTAGGTTAGAAACTGCAGGGCCATGGGTTCAAGTCTCAGTTCAGACTTCGGGACTGGTTGACTGAGAGGTGCATCATCTTACCTGCACGGGTGGACGTAGGAAGTACTCAAGCTTGAAGCCCCGCCTTCGGAGAGCAGGGTCCGCTGACACAAGGTTCGAGACGTCATAGCCATCTGCACAAAGCTACAATTGAAAGAGATAATCAAACAGGAAGATATTTAAATTCTCGACTGAGAAGCAACAGTCAATCGGTTAACTGCAACAATGTTAAAATGTGTTAATTTTAGGCATGTTGAAAAAATATGACCAATTCTAGAAAACATTTACATGTCAAGGGCTCATATGATTCAATATGTGACACAAAGCAATACGTTTAGACAAAGATAAATTTGACATACTTTAATAAAACAAGGACTGCAAAATGAGTGACGGTAGAGGACTGGGGCAAATAAAACTGAGGAAGTCTTAGAGAACATGTTTCCTGCCCTCAGTGTGGAGAAAAATATCCAAGATCACATTACAACATACCAATAAAAAGAACACAAGGTCAGTTGTGATTCAGTTTCCCACATACCCTTTTGTATCTGTGCCTTTCTATTTTCACATCATTTTCCCTTCTCAACCTTGTACTATTTTATGTCCAAGCTGTCCATGTAAGGTAATTTGCCCTGTTCATCTCAACACTCATCGGTCCAAGTAGTCAGTAGACGTAAAATAAGGTTAAATGATCTTTCATAAGACACTACACCGCTGTAAAAATAATGGTTTCTTTATGTTCCAGGTCATTTTTGAACACCGTTTTTACACGTCACAAGGAGTTTGCAGCTGAATAGAATGACAAATTGAAAACACTGCACACGGTCAGTAAAAAAAAGTACAGTTACGTGATAGTTCCACACACCTTGTTGCAATGAACTGAAGTGTGAAAGTGCGGCAGACAGAGATTCAAAACCATATTCTCCAACCTGTGAAAAAACAACAACAAACAGACTCAAAACTGTACCTTTTGCGTGCTTCACTAACGGCCCACTGTACGTCAAGGCAAATAGAGGCATTCAGTGCCTACAACACTGACTCACATGACAACAATACCCCACAATGTCCTGCATTTTTCGACCTTTCACCTCATACCGACAAAAAACCTTGAGGGAGGAAGAGACAAAACTCACTTCTGAGCTCCAACATTAAACTGCAATTTTTTTCAAGGACTTTTCCTCATAGATGCTATTATGTTGCGTAATACAGTGTAGGATAAAAACAAGATAGTGACGTCCACTTTTACTGGACGTCGTGTTAGTTGGGTTTGATTTAATACAAATTAGCAAACAAGAACTGGTCAAAGACAAGTAACTCTGCATTATAAGAACAGTACACTTCTGTTTCTGCATCAAGGATAACTGTTGATATTAATAGTCATTCAAGTTAACAATGGAATTGAACTAATTTGATAATCAAATTTAAAACTCTGCTGCTCGCTTACAAAACAGCGACAGAAACGTCTCCTCCTTACTTTAACGCTCTCATCCAGGTCTACACTCCCTCCCGCCAATGAAAGGCGTCTGATCCAACCTTCACAACAGGGTCCTAAGTCTCTGACTAGACTCTTCTCCTCTGTCGCCCCCCGGTGGTGGAACGAACTTCCAAACTCCATTGGATCTGCAGAGTCCCTCTGCACCTTTAAGAAAAAGCTAAAGACCCAGCTCTTTCATGAATACCTACTAACTTAATGATGATGGTCTCCATATTATTGATGATGATGATGATGGTTGTGACGATTGTTTTTGTTTGATAACGATGACTTATAAGATGGTTTCTATACTGATTAGAGCTCTCAAGAACTGCTGTCAATGTTGTGTTTTGCCTCTGGTCACTTCCTGTCAGCACCTGTTTGTCCAACCGGACTCACAGCTGATCGTTTGCTCTTACTGACATTGTTCCCTTTTTTCTAGATCCTTGCTTGTGTTGTACTTACTCTCGCTTTGGATAAAAGTCTGCTAAGTGAATTGTAGAATTGATAATAATGAATAAACAACAACAACAAACAGGTAATACATTACTGTGTTTAAGGTTAATTCATTTTTTCATTTCATTGTTTACTTGGTATAGTACACCACTGAATGAGGTTTGAACAGTATGTCACTTACACTTTTATTTAAAAAATTACTAAATCTTTTATCTGCACATTTTATTTTCCAGCTACCGGAAGTCGTTTTATTTTGGTAACAGACACCTACTGATATTCATTAAAAATCCCTTTAAAAATACACATTCCTGATCTTAAAGAAAGCTATGGTCCTTACACCTGAATTATCCATTAAAAAAACATTACAGTGTGTACTATGGACACAGGTACACTTTGGTTCCCATCATCTTTACAGGTGTTGACTCTGTTTAGCCAATGTGCTACATGTAGCTACCACAACCATGTTGGCTAATATTGCAAATGCTGAGCAGGATGGACAAAGCCGACAATACCTCGATGGAGCGGGCAAACCTTACTTTGCATAGTCGATGAGGATCTTGGTTGTTTTGAGTCTGTATTTCGCGACCCTTACTGTGTAAAAGTCTCGCTAATTGCTGTGAGCTATCTGCTGGTGTAGATGGCAAGAACTGCGGAAGCCGAGATGGGACACACTTAACGTCGTATTTGCGAAACGCGTCAGCCGTTCTCAAGGAATGCAACAGGTGTTGAGTAAAGACGGAAAGGAGACTCTTAATTGTGTTGCGTTTCAGCTGATATTTGCGTGTTTTCTTCATCAGTGCATCTTGAAAAAGGGGAGCCGGGTCTAACTTCCAGAGGTTTCACTTGACCATTTCTCATAACAGTTTTGACATAAATGCAGTTTGTCTTTCTTTTTTCTTTTAAATGTATCTCCTCCTCCACGTAAAGGTCGACAGGGTTGCTTATCTTTACAGGATGCAACTGCGCCGCTTGCAACATTTCAAGGACACCTCAGTAAGATGTTTGCTTTTCCCTTTTCACTGTAGTCCATTCAGTAGCTTACTCAGTGTTTTTTTTTTTATTGAAGGAGCCTATTGGACATTTAGTTAACATCATATGACGACTAATACAAAATGTACCCTTTTTTATTGTATGATAAAATAATGATTTACTTTGCAACCTCGTTGGTCTGTGAACTCATATAACCATTATGTACACCCTGCATGTGTATGGATTTTATACACTCGTGTCCAGTACTTTGATTGACATTAATATTTTAATTTGTTTCCCTTCATTTAAAAGGGAAACATGTTAGTTTCTCTTTGTAAAGTTTCTTGTTACATTACGATTGAACATTTATAAACAAAACATAGTCTTGAAGATGTAACCTACAGCTCATAATTAATTAGTAGTGCAGATGTTAATTATTATGCCAATATTGAAAGAGGATAATTAGATATATTGTACAGTAGTCGTTAACAATAGTTTACCCTTGATTCTTGTGTTGGTAAAAAAAACAAAAAACTTGTGTACTTTAACTTGTGATTTTTCATTGTATGAGCACCTATGGGCAGCATTGATACATTCATGACTCTTTAATGATACTTACAAAAATCCTTAACATTCAGAGGACCCCTCATTATTTATTCGTGTCAGTCTTTCTGAAGCTGATAAATCAAATATTTTACTCCAGTTTGCTGTTAACCACAGGACAAATAATGTTACTCACTGACAACCCATTCTGAATTATTCACATATCTTTATTAGTTTTGTTGAATTTTAACAAAGGAGGGGTTTTAATCAAGCCAGAACAGTACTAATAACATAAATGCAAACAATAATGTTGAAACATGTATAAAATCCATAGCATTTTGTTCTCTAAATAATGCAATACTGTAACTACATTTATCACCTACATCAAAAAGAACATCATTTTTTGGACAGGGTTGCTATGATTGCACCATTATGGTATAGGCCAATAGGCTATCTACACAGTTTAGAAAAACACAGAAAGGAAAGCTCCAATGGCACATATTTTCTCTGTCAGTTCACCATAATATAATAACAGTAATAAAGATGATAATACTATGTAATATTTTAGAGATAAGTTAATATTCTTGAGCAACATCTTTGTATGCTGGCATAAACAACACATATAAAAGCCATGATATTCACATCTGAGTCTACTGTACATCATAACTCGTGTGTACTACATAGTGCAGTTAGCCTGAATGCTTCCTTTAAAAAGACGACTCTCCACTTTTTTTGATTTTTTTTCTAAACCTCCTTCTCCCCCGCTTCATCTAGATGAACCATACAGAGGAAAGTGAGAGTTTTTAAAGACATACAGACTCCCCTCAGTTTGACTTTTGTGTCTCACTGTCCTTGTGTCAAGCTTTGATGAACGTACCACTTACTCCCCAACCTGCAAAAAATCCAATCCCTTTGCACGTTGTATATCTTCACTTGCTGTATTGCCACTAGTCCCTCTATCGTCAATCTCATAAGCTGAAGCTTTTCATATGTATACACACATGCACACACCCCCTTTCTCTCTCACACACTCACTCACTCAAACACACATTTACAATCTATAACTATTATAAGTGTTTCTATTATATCATACATTCTATAATTTTTTTTTTTTAAACTTTGGAAATGCCGACTGTTTTCTTCGATTTCTTGGCTGTAAATGCACAAAGTGAATGACACAATTGTCATAATAATTAAATTCAAATCGTGTGCTTTCATTCACATTCTTCTTGCAGCTAGATGGGAGGAAAGTTGAGTTTTCAGCTCTCTCACGACCTCCAGTGGTTGTTTTTAGTCACTGCAGGCGGCCTGCGGTGAAGGCGAACCAGGTTCCCCCGTCATCTTAAAACGTATTCTATATTCATTTGGGGTTGATTATCTGCTAAACATATCTATTTTATTCAATTTGTAGAAAATATAAACTCTGTTGCTCTTAATGATGTGTGTAAATGACCCATGCATGTTGGACCCTGTTCATGAAATGACTTGAAATCAAGAATCAGTCTGTGTGACCTTTAACATTGATATCTGCTGGGTTTCAAATTAAATAAGTCCAGCCATGTGTGATGATTCTTTGTTACTGTTTTGCTGATCTCATAATTAAAGCACTGAAAATGATAATCACACTCTTGATGTTTTTTTTCCTCCATCTATTTCCCAGCGTTTGTTCATCTCTTCTACATGCTGGAAAGGACGGAGTAAGGCGCTCTCTGGCCACAAATGAAGATAACATCACACACTCTGACCACTAATTCTACTTTTACATTACCAGTGACAAAGACTTACAATGAATAAATACCGCATCATATTCTCGTTGATCATTTCTGACAATATCCCTGATTGTCTTGGTCCTTTCTAGTTTGGGCAATAAAATGACCCCTGTATTAGTGCTGTATTCTAAACATTGTCATTTAACAGTTGTTGTTTTTTTTTTGCCATCTGTCAGTGTGGCACACTTTTCATGAACACTGATTATGAAACGTGGAAGTGTGCAACTAGTGAGAGAAAGGCTGCTTAGGAGGTTAACAATCATTGGTAGATTGAATGTATTTCAACTTTCTGTTCAGTTGATCTGCTTGATACTGATCATGTTGGATGTAACAGTCGGCCTCTGTTGATGCTCAGTGTCTTTAGTTGCTTTGAAAAGTATGCCAAACTGTGCTGATTTATTCTATTGTAGACTGCAGTGTTTTTTCACCTGTAAGCTGTAGTGGTTTTGTATGAGAGGCCTTGTCACTGTGAGTGGATTAAGCTGGATAACGTGTCTATATCTCAGTGGACTCTATCCTCTCCAGGCGTGAGGGTCCCGCCCAGGGAGGAGCAAGCTGGTGGAGAGACGGAGGACCCTTCTGGTCCTCACAAGGCGGGGAAATGGTGAGGGCGATGGGGCCAGAGATGGAGGGTAGGGGCTGAGGAGACAAAGGTGACAGGGCCGGAGGTGGAGGTGGAGGGGAAGAGTTGGAGGACGTGGGGGAGGTGGTGGTGGTAGTGGTTACAGTGGTTGTGGTGGAGGTTGTGGTTGATTTGGCTCCCAGCTGGCTCATACGTTTTTCTAAGGCTTGGTTCTTCTGCAGTGTCTCAACGTAGCTGAGCTGCAACTGTGCCTGGTATTTTAAAACGCGCTCCTTCTCATCCTGCCAGGTGTGTCGCTCCTGGTCAAAGTTGAGGGCCTGACGTTCCCTTTGCTGCCGCTCCAGGCGCAGTGCAGCCTGCAGCTGTTCTAGCTGCCTGCGTAGCTCCCCTGACTCGTCCCAGTGACCCTCCTGGTTCCGCTGAGGTTGGTGACCATCCTGTCGCAGTTGGGCCTCCTGGCAGAGTTGTGCCTCGTGACGTAGCTGGGCCTCCTGTCGCATTTGGGCCTCATGGCAGAGCTGGGCCTCCTGACGGATATGGGCCTCCTGCCGCAGCTGTGCTTCATGGCGGAGATGAGCCTCCTGACGGTGCTGGGCCTCCTGCCGCAGTTGGGCTTCTGGTCTGATCTGGGCGTCCTGTCGCATCCTCATGTCGTGCTGCATGTGCGCATCTTGTCGCTGTTGTGCGTCCCTCCATTGAGCCTCTTCACGTTGCCTCTCCTGCCTCTGAGCCTCCTGCCTTTGAGCTTTGGCTTCATCACTCTGGAGACTCAGCAGGGTGTCGGAAGTTGGGGTGAGGGAGTTGGTTGAGGTCTCTGGGGGTATTCGTGGGCAGTGGACAGCTCCCCACGGCGGCAACAGCCCCGCAGCAGCTAAGTTAGGGCTCACGACTACTTCTGCCCCTCTGCTCACTTCATTCAGAGCCCGCTTTAAACTGAGCACCTCTGCCTCAAACACACCCAGCTTCTCTCTGAGAACGGACACCTGTAGAAAGGAAAATATTTCATAGGAAAATGTTTATTTGTTATTTATGTATTGTTCAAATCTTGATGCATGTCATGCCAAATCATGTTATTATTTAAAACAAATGTAAAAAAAATGTACAAATAAATACAAATAGCAACATTAAATAAAGATACTCATGTTTGAACATTCATTTGACAAAGGAGCAATAAAGGAGGGACAGTACTGATGTGTAACACACTGTAACATGTTTTCAGATGAAGGGGTGCTGCTTGTTTATGGTCTGTTATAATATAGTAACTTGGTTTAACCAGAAATGGAGAGAGAGAGAGAGAGAGAGATTTTCTGATTACAGGGCGGTGTACAGTTCAGAGACAGGAGACTGGTATGAATGGGATGAACTGATTATTAATTGGTTTTGTGTTTGATGGTGAGGGAATTGTTGTACCAGGATGAAAGTTTGAAGGTAGGAATGGATTTTAAAGAGTGAGCGGTAAAACCAGAGTTAAAATGTTTCCTCAGCAGCTGGAGGCGCTGTATTGTACACAGTCAGCATGCTGTGGAAAGGACAGACAGGTGTCTATTCCTGTTCAAAGAAACCATTCACTGCCAAATCGGAAAACTATAATCAACAGTTTGACATATTGGGAAGGTTTGCAATTTTATTTTAAAGACTGTTTAAAGGAATGTTAGCATCTGCATATAATTATTTGGTCTGTGTTTTTTCTGTCATTTGTATCCTCTTCTCGGAGGTTATTGAGGTGTAAACATACCTCTGACAGAGTCCTCCTCAGCTCTCCCTCACACTTCTCAAGCTCCAGACTCTTGGTGCTGTAGGAGTCCTTCAGCCCCAGCATGGTCTCCTCGCGCTCCCTCAGCTGGGCATTGAGCTCCTTCAGCTGACCTCTCAGGGCCACCATCTCCCCGGCTCGCTGGGTCACTTCAGCCTGACTCTCCCTCAGCTGCTGCTTGAGCAGGGAGATCTCTCCAGCCTTCTGACACACCTGCAACACGGCAAATGAGCGAGTGAGTGAGTGGTAGTTTTTACAATATTTGTGTACTGCTGTTGCTTGTACTTGCTGAAGACAAAGACAGCTTCACAAACACACACACACACACACACACCCTTGCAGTCAGTGCTGAGGCTATCATGATGTAAACTTGATAACATTTTACTTAACCAGCCAAGAGCAACAACTCATACACTCATATCTCACCTCCCACTTGGTCTCCTCCAGACGAGGCAAGATGTCAGCCTGCTCTTTCCTGTAGTCCAGACACTTTCTCTCCAGCTCCTCCCTCTGAGCCAACAGAGCCGCCATCTCCTCCTGCAGCCTCCTCTTGTCCTGGGACAGACGGGATATCTGGGCCTGCAGGGCAGTCTGGGAGCGCTGAGCCCGCCGGGTAACCTAGAGATATAAACAGTGTCTCTTTATATGTGAAACAAACATGTTTATCTTTCAATACCATCCTGTAATGCTTGTTTTTTGAGAATCTAGAACTCTGTACTGTCAAATGTTTTTTACCCTGCTCATATTTGATCTGATTGACCTGTGTCTCCATTCAACATTTTGGAGAGATTCCATCTATCATGTCACAACAACAACAAAAAGATCAAGGTCCTCCAAAGAGTTTCTATACAAAGGAGTATTAAGGCCACATTAATCAAACATTTTGAGATTAAATTCAATAATTTACAAGAATAAAGTCGTAAATGTATGGGAGTAGTCATAAATTCACGAGATTAGAGTAAAACTTTTACAAGAATAAACACGGAAATTGATAAGAATAATGTCAAAAGAGAATAAGTGAAGAAATTTCCGAGAATAAAGTAAAAAAAAAAAAAAACTAGAATATAGTCATACATTGACACGATTAAAGTAATAAATGTATGAGAATGAAGATTTTTTAGTCCATAGTTTATCAGAAGAGCATAGTTTATCGCTCGGGGAGATGACTGCTCTTCTGATACAACCTTTTTAAATTTGAACCATAGCCAAATTGAAATCGATTTACAAATTAATTATTGTAAATTAACAATTTTAATCTCATAAATGTACAACTATATTGTCATAAATGTACGACTTTAACCTCAAAATTTTAGATTTTTTTATCTTAAACGTTGCCCTAATTCTCTGTCATATTTGAAGTGTTTCATAACATCAAAATGTTTCTCTCTGCAGTGTATCTGTGTTTCTGTGTTTCTCATTGGCATTCTTCAAAAAGGACATGCTGCTGCTAAAGGCTTTGAATGTAAAAAAAACACTCTGATATTGTTACAGGGTAGTTTATTTGGATATTTATGCATTTATCTTTTCTCCTATTTATTTCGGCGCTGCTGGGACTAGAGGACTCATACAGGGTGTGTCATTCCCAAGCATTTTTTAAAAATATATTCTGTGATGGATTTAGAGTATATTTTTGTTGGAATGCATAACATACCACAAATTAATACAAATAAATATCGAAGTAACACAAGGCTTTTAAAGAGGATTGTTGTTGTGTTGATATTTCACGAAGACAGAGTAACTGTAGTAGCTGCAGGATAGTGAACTTCTAATTGACTTTTAAAATTGGCTGGAGGAAAGGCATTTTTGTTATTGTTCCATCATTTATCTACGTACCCCCCCAAATACTTGCACTAGATTTTTGACCATTTGCCTTGATCAGCAATTCGTCAGAGATTCCACAAAGTTTGGACAGGAGGTGAAAATGCATTGAAATATGCAGGGAGGTCACCTGCTGCAGGCGTGAGGCATAGTTCTGTCTCAGCTCATCCATCTGTCGCTCCCACACACGCTGCTTCTCCTCAAACACCTGAATGATTGCCGCCTCACTTTGGTCCAGGTTTCTGCGCATGTGCTGCACCTACAGCAAAGAAGAATAAGTGGGTTAGGACGGATGAGCCATTAAATGTAACTTTACTATGTCCTGTCTATGAAGGTTTGGCCAGTTCTTGAAGATGCTGTTACTTTAGATTAATGTACTTCACACTGAATATCAAGTTCCATTCATCTCCAATGCCCTGGGTTGGCTGCTAAACTTTGTAAAAGTTCATCTTACTATCTGGTAAAACAAAACATGACAGCATTACTAATGGCAATTTTTTTTTCTGAACTGTCCCTTTAAATTCACTTCTCATTATAAAGAGCCAACAAAGTGCAAAACAATTGGAATGTGCCTGCTGACCTCTTGCTCTTTCTCCCACAAGCGGTCTTCAAGATCCTGGATGATGTCATCAGAGGAGGGGGAGGGCCGTAGAGGTGCTGGGGCGTCACTCAGGTGGCTCAGTCTCTGATAGGACGAAGAGCTCTTTCCCGAGGACGACCGGCCGCTGTCTGAGGCGCTGAGCCCGTTCTGGAGGTAAGAACCACATCATGCTTACTTCCATTTATGACAGAGAAGTGCATTAACCAGCAGTCTCAGTGACTAGATAATAGTCTCACCTGGTAGCCGGGCTTTTCCAGCTTGTCCAGCCCTGCAGCTGCCCCTGCCATGCCTAATCTGTTGATATGACTGGTGGAAGCGCTGAGAGGCCCCAGGACTGCTGGGGGCCCGCAACCAGACCCCGAGCCAGTATACGTGGGCAGGCTGGTCAGGGAGTTCCTCCCTGAGTCAGACATCCCTCCCTGAACCACTTCATTTCCATTTCCCCCACCCTCACTCCTGCCCCCCCTTACTGGACTGTCCTGGTCCAGGAGCAGGGCCTCTGGGACCTCTCCTGCCTCTCCTCCTGCTCCATCCCTGCCTCTCCTGCCTCCTCTGCTCTCACTGAACCCCTCACTCCTTGCCTCAGTCTTGCCCTCACTCCCAGCCCCTCCTGCCTGGCTCACAAGGTTTTGCATGGAGTGGAAGCTCTTGGGAACCACCGGCTTGAAGGCAGAGGGACGAACGAGGCCTGAGTTGTTCTGCATGGCCTGGGATGATCGAGGAAGTATAGAACAGAGAAAGGAAGGAAGAGAGAGGAAACCAGTAGGGAAGAACATACATTATTATTGGATACATAACTGCAGTTACAGATAAAGTTTTGACTATAAAACTAAGCAATGTCAGGCATTCAAACACAATGTGGAGCATGTATGAGACCTGTTGTGATCAATTTGAAATTGCCTGACATGGATGTGATATATTTTCTGACGCAGTTTGATCCTGGCTTCATTTTTTTTTTATGTCTATCTTACTACACCACTCACGTGTCCATGAAGTGTTACAGGTGGCTACAAAAACCCAACATACCTGCTCTGAGGCAATCTCTGACTAACAAAACTCAGATTCAACTAATAGTAGGACGAGGCTTCAGTATTCTTCAGTAGCCAAACAAAGTAGGTATGGACTTTTTCATGAAAAGTAAACAATGATTGAGGAAAAAAACTGAAGTAAGATACTAAAATTATTTGGCCATTTCTGACAGTTGAAAGTTTTATTTACAAAGTGATAATCTTGAGTTAGAAAATTCCATCTTTTTGTTTGGAAGCATTTCCCTTGCTTAAAAAAATGATTATGTCCATTTAATTTCTTGAACTCTGCTGCTCCTCCTACCCTCTAACAACAGTTCTTACAGCACTGAATAGAAAGTGATGATATTGCAGTCAGTATGGAGAAGAGTCAGTTTACAGCCAGAAATAACTCGACGGTGAGTATTGAATGAAGGCAGACTCGGGGAAAAAAGTGATGATATCATTTAAAAGTTCCAGTTTCCAACCCTTGTCTTCTAAATCGTTGGTGTGCAGAATCTTTTTTGCTCGTGAACACTTATTTAAGCCTGGATATCTGAGAGCACACCAGTGACTTCCCTTTCTCACATTTCTAAAGATAATTACTTCTTAAAGGCCTTGAGTGTTAAAATTAAACAAATATTACATTAATATCACATTTTCTACCCAGATAATCATGTTAGTTCCCCATAGATTCACATTTAAAACCCATTTTGACCCCAAAGTAGGGACCCAGTGTACTCAGTCTTATAGTACCTGTTCCAGTTTTCCTGACACGGGCATGATCTTGGGCGGGTTGTGGTTTGGAGGGTTGTGACCACCTGGATTGTTCTCGTCAGCTCTGGCGGCTGCCATCTCTCTGTGCTGGTGCTGGTTCATGACAACAATGTTCTTCTCGTTTCCTCCTCGTCCCACAATGTTCCCACAAACGTCTAAACCTGCAGCCTGCATTTCCCTCTCTCTCTCCCTCTCCATCCTCTCATTCTCCAGCCTCTCTCTTTCCCTCTCCCTCTCCCGTTCCCTCTCTCGCTCCCTCTCCCTCTCTATCTTCTCCCTCTCAATCCTCTCTCTCTCCCTCTCTCTGGCTCTCTCCCTCTCCCGCTCCCTCTCTCGCTCCAGCCTCTCTCTCTCCACTCGTTCCCGCTCCCTCTCCCGGTTCCTCTCCCTCTCTCGCTCCCTCTCCAGCCTCTCTCTGTCCCAGTCTCGGTCCCTGTCCCTGTCTCTCCCCCTCTCACGCTGCCTCTCCCTTTCCCTCTCCCACTCCCTCTCCCGCCTGCCCGCTCCGTTGCCACACTCCAACTGGTTGTTGTTGGACGGGGCGGTCATGGTACATTCAGTGTTGGTGGAGGAGGCTGTTTCGGTGGGCCGGTCAGTCCCGGTACAGGTCCCAGTCCCGATACTAACACTCCCTCGTTCATCGCTAGAAGCCGTCCCGTCTGATATTGTCGCCGGGGGGCGGGGCAGCCGCTCTGCGCTGCAGCTGCGATCGGCAGGGCAACGGCGAGAGAGAGGAGGGGCCCGGGGCAGCGTGGTCCTCGTACCCACTGACTTCATGGCAAACTCCTGCTCTCCTGCCACCCCACTGCCAACACTGCCCATAGTGGGGGTCAAAGGTCAGGGATTAGAGGTTAGGAGTCAGGATTGGGGAGGGTCACAGAAACATTTGGATGTAGTGTGGGTCATCACAACCTAATGCAGGTAGTGGGGGCATACACACTAGAGGAACACAGAAAAACGAGAGGAGTTATACAATTTTGTAACTGCATAATGACTAGTTATACAATAATAGATAAAGCAGAATAGATTCCAGCCCACATACAGGGGCAGCGGGGTCCTCCCACCATGATATAAAATGATAAGGGTCAAACTAATAAGTCTGGACATTTATGTGTAGTGAGGCTGAAAATAAAAAAAAATGTGCGCACAAGTGTGTTCGTGAGGTCAATCACACACATTGGCATCGTTGGACTTAAGCAGTGTTTGTTTAATTTGCCTTTTTGTGGACCACAAACATGAAACAAGTCTAACAAAGTACTTAACAACAGCCCTGCAATAAATATACACTATTTGATGCTCACAGTGTTCTATATTTGTTCGCCCTGCTTGCTATAGATTTGATCTAAACTGATGTTTTATCAGATATTTGCAAAAAGTACAATTTACCCCACTGCAGGGTTTGTCAGATCAATAATAATACACCAAAATAAAAAACATGATCTATATCTCTCATAGAACCCTTTAATTAACACTAGTGTATAACTACGGTCACCAAAAAGTAACAAATAATATAAATTCCCTATTTGTGGTCAGATACACACTTCACTGTGGACAATACTGTCAACACTTATAACATCCATAAAAATCAATAATCAGGTTCTTCAAATGTACTTATACATCAAGGAAACGTCACAAAGCATCAAAGGATGCCTAACAGAACTTTTTATTTAAGTCAATGGTAGCTTCTTAAACTGTAGTGGTTGTTGGGTTTATAAAGTAACTACACATTACATGAAAGAGCAATACCACTAGAACATATCTAAACATTTCACTCCATACAAAAGAACAATTTATTGAAGGGTTTTTGTGTTATGACACTTTAGAATGAAGGAGATTTCTGTTTATGTGTCCACACATGTTGAGCCTTCACTTAGTTGCCATGCAGTTTATAAGTTATGGCTGTAAAATGAATACAATCCACATTACAACATCACTGCATCTTATTCTGCCTTCATGGTAGTTCTGTCTCACGCTGACAGTGTTTCAAAGAGGTGTTGATTTTACTCTATGGTCATTTTGAGGCTTTAGTTTGAGGTATTGTTGAATTGTATTATTGTGTTATACTTATGAAGCAGCCTAATATTGTACAAGGTTTCATTATTTTCAACATTTTATCCACATTGAGTTCCTGTCTTACAAAGGGCCCTTACTATTGTACCTTTCCCGGTGGAAATCCCAGGATAACTCCAATATGATGATATGATGCAATACGATATGATACAATGTGATACACAATACCATATATCATTTAATACGATATGATATATGATAAGAACCAACATGATATGATACCATATGATATGATATATGATACAACACTATGCTATACTATACAATACTATAAAGTACTTCAAACATATAGGATATGCCATACGTAGTCAAAGACAACGATCTTGATATATATTGCGAGACAATAATATTGATACATCCTGATATCCGGTTGACTCAAGAATACAAAACCCAACAAAAAGCTGAAGTGTAGGATTAATGAATGTATTCACTGCAATGAGGAGTAAGCTTTTCTCCTCATTATGCTTCATCATTCAACTTCTTTGTACAGCAGTCTGACTATCACGTTTCTTCTTTTTTTTTTAACCACCCTGTCAACTTGGCCATTTAACTTAAGTTCACATTAACCCTGTTCATGTCAATAATGTGAAGAAGTGACCCGTTGAGTCAAATTGTCAGGGAAATCTGTTTCAGGTGCTGATTTTATGAAGAAAAAGAAAAACAATTATTGATTTTTGGCACCACCGTTTCCATAATTGTATTGCATGAGTCGTTAGATAGTATACTGTCATTTTGTCTTAATACTTTTACTACTATACATAAAGTTGATATATAGGCTATTTCAAAAGTGCTTATTCTGAGCACTTTCTGCTCAAACAAATGTTTGCAAACCAACCTTGAGTTTAGGTGAACTATTTCTGGGGCTCTGGGCAAAATGGGCTGTAAAGATTGTGAGCTGTGGGGGCTTATTAGGGGCCCCTAGCAGCAAGAGAAACAGCTCCGGGTAAACCTAACTGCACTGCAAACTCCGTTCTCAATTGAGACAGTAAAGTGGAATCAACACCTCTCTGAAACAGCTTCAACAAATGATTTATTGCAGGGCTGCTGTACCAGACTGAATCATTTTGAACTTTGTGTACCTAATAAAGTGTGTGTATATTCAGAGGCTGCTGTGTAGCTGAGCTGCATAAAATTAAACGGAATGGTTTAGTATTGTCTCAAGTGTCCCATTTATATCAGCAAAAGTGAACCAATTACTATGAAACACCTTTCAATGAGGTTTTAGTGATGCATATATAACCCTGTTGTCATCTTAAACTCTATCCCTGTTAGCTATGCGCCGCCTTCGCTATAGTAACACCAAAAATGTCCTAAAATACAGCAATAAACACCTCTCACTGTTATGCAATACAATTCAGTATCTCCACAAACTGCTGCCTACAAGATGAGCATAACCTCCATGTAAGTAGGATCTATTACAGGACTGGTGTATAAGACTGTTGAACTAGTTTTAGAGATTTGTGTACCATAAATAAATAAATAAAAACATGTGGGGGGGGGGATAAGATGTGTAGTTGGATAAATCGATAATAGCTAAATAGGTAAAGCCGATATTTGTAATGGTTGCCATGACTATGAGCCACATATGAAAGCATGCCTACAAATGAACACTGAGATCATCAAAATACAGAGGCATGTAACAGGAGCTGATGGAGATAGATAGATAGCGACGCAGTCATGCCTCTGCACCCTCCCTCCTCAACCCATTTACTCGAGGTTTACTTCCACTTGGGTGAATAGTAGTAGTAGTAAAATACACTGCCTATCTATGTGCTCTGCTCTGCCTCAATCCCCTCCCCTCACGACTCCCCCCCCCCCTCTCTCTCTCTCTCTCTCTCTCTCTCTCTCTCTCCCTCTCTCTCCCTTTTTCCTCTGCATCCCTGGGCGGCAAGGGCGGCTTTAGCAGCATCCGCATCAAGCCCCCGAATCGACTGCGCTCCCAAACAATTACCTCCTCGCTAGGCCTGACACAAGAAACGAGCCCACGAGCCTCGCCGAATGAAAAAAAGAAACACATCTACAGTAACATGCACAGCGTCATTGACATTGACGACAGTCGCTTTGATTTACCGATTGTAGCATCCTGGCGGTCCATCATCAAAGGCTACTCACTATTTTGCAGCTCGGCGGTGTGTAAGATGGCAGCCTCAGTAAACAATAATGTCACCAGACAGCGGCGTCAGTCCCGGTCGGCCCCGGATCTCAGTTATTCCGCGCTGTTACCGAGGCTCGGTGATATCAGGGATGCTGCCTTCGACCGCTGTCAGCGTCGGATGCTGATGATGGAGTCGGTCGGTTGATAGGCGCATCAGCTGAGAGACACACACACCCACCTCTGGCCCCGCCCCTTCGGCTGCATGATACTAACGCCCCCTTTTGGCTTTCTTCCAGTGCTCTCCCCCTGGGAAGAGCCTATAGAGCCATATACACTTCCCCGGATGGATGCATGGAGGCGGAAGAAACTGTAGTCATGCTGGATGCATCATCAAATAAACGCTTGCTTTTTTTTTCTCTATAGCATATTAATTAATAAGTAGCGTATTTTGTTTTATCAGAAAAAAAAAGTTTGGCTTCAGTGGTCAACTCATTTGAGATCATGTTTTGCTACTTGTACATAACGCCGACCTGTCGAATAAACATGAAACTGGAACTATTTTACCTTAGTACAGATTCATTAAATGGTTGACTTGTCATAAAGAGAACGGTGCTTCTTTAATTCATACCTCATTTCTCCCACGAGAAGTAAGCAATGCTTAAAGGTCGCATATTATACTTGTAAACAACAAGTGTAAATACATCTCAGAGGTCCCTGAAACATGTATCTAATGTTTCATGTTAATAATCCACCGTGATCCAGTTATTTTATCCTGACTATAAACCCCTCTGTTTCAGCCCTGCTCAGAACAGGCTGTTTCTCTGTCTGTAGCTTTAAATGTAAATGTGCTGTGTCTGACCACACCCCCTCTCTGGAAGGGATATGGCTTGGGCTTTTCTTGTACCAAGTCCTATTATTTACATCGAGAAGTCAGAGTTAAAGGGCAAAACAAACACAGCTGTGGTAGTGTCACCCAACTGGGGGAATCACTGCCCTTTGTGATGTCATGAAGGGAAATAACCAAACGGCCTGTTTGAGCACACATTTTCTGAAAAGTGGAGAAGGCAACAGGCAGAGAAGATGGACTTTTTTCAAAATTGTGGCGTTTGTAGAAACTCTAGGGAAATATTAGTGTTAGAAAACCATGGTTCAGTGTATTTTGAATAATATGAGACCTTTAAAGCTTCTCGTGTTCTGTTGATTTTGGCGCCCCCTGTGACAAAATACTACATTGTATCTCCTAGCTAATTTTGTCCTGTACAGGTGTGGGGCATAGTTTTTTTTATTTTTATCTGTCACCCTGAGTTTTTAACAGTCAGTTACTTATCAAGAAGATTTTCAGTAGAAAGTGCAAAAAAAAGAAATCACAGCTTGCTTATAATCCCTTCTTCTGACATCTCTCCTGCCGTAACATTTACTGTCATTAAAACACTGTTTAGAAAAGATTCATCTTTATGCTGATGGTCTCATTTAAGAGGCATCAAGAGTCATTTCAGTCTGTTTCTAAAACTAAAAACTACTCACGGGAGATTAAACTTCATGGCTTCTGTCAGAAAATTCTAAACACAAAGTTATGGTGTTAATGTTTTCCATGTTTGTTTTTTTTGCTCAGTACTGAGGATCCCCTTTTTCATTTGGGTTATATTTCACACAGCATGAAACCTCCAGTGCTGTAAACAAGACAATGTGGAAATGTGGAAATGCAAAAACCTGCTGTTCCTGAAGTGTCCTCTTGAGGCTGGCTGCAAAAGCCCTGGAAGTCAGGTTAACACCCATTCAAAAAATCTGCTTTTACAATATTAAACATGTTTGCAGCCTGGTTCAAAAAATAATTTTGACTGAATAGCTTATTTCTTTAGCTGAACTGTACTGTACTGAGGGTTTTTACAACTTATCTATATTGATTTTATAAAGGATAGGAGTTATACATGATAAGGGGCATGGCTAATCTGACTGACAGGGGAGGGGGGGTTGTAGTTTTCTGTCAGGAGGTGTCAGGCCTGCTCAGCAGCAGCTCTTTTTCTGATACAATGTTGGCCGAAAGTAAGTTTTAGACAGCATTTGTAATATGGCGACCACCATCGATTGGCTTCAAAAGTCCACTTCAGAAACCATGGGTGACATCACTGAGATGACATCCTTGTCACATACAGTCTATGGTGGCACAATGTGACAACTTTACATTTTAATTCCTTTCCACTGCCGTCTGTTTGTTTTCCTATCTGTAAGGCTTTTTTTCCTTCAATAGTTTTTTGTGTGACTTGCTTTCTCTCTCACACACACAAACACACTCAGATGCTTTTCCTTTCAATCTTTTTTATCCACTGTGACCCCTGTTGGATGGGAGGGGCAATTGAGACACAACCACAAATTCAGAGTACATCAAACTTCTTTAAACATTTTTGGACCAGAACTGCCACATCCAGACATGTCAGAGTTCATTTATAAAGAGAGTTACCAATAGTCCATTAAATGTTTTGAGACCTACATTACAGCTAGCTAAGAATTTTAAAAGGGACTTAATTGTTATGCAGTTGCACATGAAAACAATAGATGAGACTTTGTTGAATAAATGTTTGAGGTAAAAACAAAAAATGCATGTCACAGATTACAACCAAAACTAGGCATTCATAAAACTTTCTTATAGACACAGGCTACTACTTGTGTCACACACCCCAAGCAGAAATGTGTATTCAGAGTTTTGTATAAACTGTGTCTATTATTTGTTGCACATGGTGGGGTCTATAACTTGGTGGTTCACCTATGTAGTGCCGTTTATCTTTATGAATTGATTTTGTAGAGTTCCCAAGTTGGATACCTACAGAACCCCCCAACAAGTGTGTCTGTGTGTCTGTGTGTGTGTGTGTGTGTGTGTGTGTGTGTGTGTGTGTGTGTGTGTGTGTGTGTGTGTGTGTGTGTGTGTGTGTGTGTGTGTGTGTGATAGCAATGTGTTAATACGTCATAACTTATGGTAAATTAACAGAATAAGAGGACGAGCGAGTAGGTAAGAGAAAGCACCAGAACAGTGTGGAGGCAGGGAGATCTGTTAAATGTCTTGCAGCTGTCCGACGTCACCGCAGGCCCATGATAGACGGGAGCATCTGGGGGCCAGAAATAACCCACAGAGACCAGGCCCCTACCAATTCATGGTTGGGTGTGGGGGGGTGGGGTCTTCTACCAGATAAAAGTTTAAAAAGCAAAAAGTGTAACCTAAAAGTTAAGTAAACCAAATGATAAGAGAGAACAAACAGGAGTTCAGTGGGAATAACTTTTAAACGAGGTTGTAGGTTTTTATTGAAAAGTATTTTGGCACATGATATTTTGTTTCTCAGGAGGAAAAGAATCACCACCACCCCGATCTTTGTGTCCCTTGGTACAGTTCAAGAGGTGCAGTGCTATTTTAGTACTTTGGGTGTGGAATGTGCAGTTGTCATTGAAGAACACAAAGGGCGCAGATTAGTCTACAAGTTCCTCAACTACCATAACTCTGCATTTAGCTTCCCTCTACCACAGAAACACTCTCATCTCACTCTCCCCCAGCTTCTGAGGAACCGGAGCAGCTTCTGAACCATGGAGAACGTGGCAATATTTGACTCACCTGGAAAGGGGAGAGGTCTGAAGACGACCAAGGAGTTCTGGGCCGGAGATGTCATCTTCTCTGAGCCCAGTATCTCAGCTGTTGTGTTTGACAGGTACAGTGAACAACTTTCAGCTTTTTCTTTGACTTAAAAACTATGTAAAGCATTTTGAGTTTTGCTTTTTTTGGAAGGCCGTCACCATATTGCAGACATTCACCCCTGATGTCACACTCATTTTGAAACTCTAATGCTTTTCTATCGTGGTGCTGCTGTTCAGGTTTGAAAAGCATATAGAGCAGTGGTATACTCAGCCTTGTTAGACTTAAGAGCCACATTGACCAAAATTTATTTCTGCAAGAGCCACAATCAAAAAACCTCTTTCTTTCCTAAGATTTGTATGGGGAACACAGTGACATGACTTGCAACGAATAGTTTCTGCTAACAATGTTTCCCTTTTTTAAATAATTTCTTTGGATTTTTTTTTTCCAAGTAGAACCTAAAAGAGCCACAACTAGTCCCAAATGAGCCACATGTGGCTCGAGAGCCTCGGGTTGAGTATCACTGATATAGAGAATGGGACACCTGATGGATCAAAAAATTAAAAGGCAATAAATACAGAGACCTGATCGACATTAGGCCACATTTTAAAACAAAACAACACAGTTGACAACTCATTACCTATCATAAGACTACAGCTAACGTTAGCATGCACTTACGTTACCATTGATGGGCATTTTTAAAAGTCAGCTGAACACCTACCTTTTTAATCTGGCCATTAACTTGGAGGACTTTTACAGCCTTTTTCAGTGTTTTTATCAATCATTGCTTTTACATTGGTTTTTATTCAGTCTTATTCAGCTCTTTAACATGTTTTATTAATTACTGATATTTTTTCTGTTCTATTGATTTTGCTTATTCATTTATTTACTTTCATTTTATCTTTTAAAATGAATTGTATCATTTTAAATAATTGTATATAACCTTCTTTCTTGTTTTAATCTCTTTCAATTTCTCTTATTTTCTGTCTGTTCTTTGGTGAAGCACCTTAGGCTGAAGTATTTATAAAGTTACCAAATAATCTGATCACAAAGTCAAGTTACTAGGTTTTCTTGGAACTTCTCCAGTTCCTTGAAGAAGACTGTTTGATCCTGTGTTGAAATAGTTGACTATTTTATGATGTTCTGAAATGATCAAGTGATAAACTGTGTGTAAAGTGGTACAACTAAGATGTCAGACTCAGAAGCTGGATAACTTACCATATCAGATCACTCGGCTGTTTATCTGTGAGACACTCTTACTTTGACTTTATTGTCACTTTGTGTCTGTATTACTAATCATTCATATATGGAGATCAGAACATCTTTACCTATACTGTGTCTTCTCTTCTTCTGCAGTCTAGCAGAGCGTATCTGCCACAGCTGTTTCCGCACACAGGACAAGCTGCAGAGGTGCGGACAGTGCAAGTTTGCTCATTATTGTGACCGAACCTGCCAGCGTGCCGGCTGGGCCGAACACAAGCTTGAATGTTCTTCCATCAAAGCTTTTGGAAAAGTACCAAACGAAAACATCCGGTAAGTGGCACGTTTTCTACAGTCCAAGTCCCACCAAATCAGAAGAGAAGATGCTGATTCTGTGCAAATATAATTCAACTGGATGGTTCACATCGATTTCGATTTTGACAACAAGAAATGCCAAGTGAATTTGTGAGTCACTGTTAACAAGTCCCCTGAATTAGTCCTGAGAGACAATGTGTCTGACTTCATGTCATCCCAGGGTCATGATTTCTTTAACCTTTTTTTTTTTTTGCGGTCAGTTTGGTGGCCCGCATCTTGTGGCGCCTGGATAAGGACGGGGATGTGGTGTCTGACATGCAGCTGACCACAATAGATGAACTGGAGGACCACATTGCTGACATGCAGGAGGATGAGTTGAAGGATTTCAAAGTGGATATCCACAACTTCCTGGACTACTGGCCCCGCACAAGCAAGCAGCACACAATCGACAACATCTCACATCTTTTTGGAGTGGTGCGTTTAATGTGTTTTATCCATTAAATGGCTTTTTTTATGTTGCTATCATAGCTCTTAAAATGTATAATCAGGGGCTTTATGAAAGATATTGTCCCTCTCCTCCAACTCAGACAAACTAGCCTCCCGTAAACCTGTCAAAATCAAAGATTTTTCTTTTTACCACCAGCAAAAGCTGACAAAGAGTGAAAAACTGTGGTAAACACTACTGGCTGTGCCATTCAAAGCAAGGCAAGAAAGAGGCCACAGTGCTCCTGCGGTTCCCTATCCTTTTCCACATTATGACATTAATGGCGGAGTAATATCTATTACTCTCCCTCTCAGATTTCCTGTTTTTAACAGTTTAACCAAAAGGCTATAAGAGCAGATTGGAGAGGCATAACTAATATTAAGATTCCACAGTACGAAAAACAAAAACAGGATAAATGTCGAAAACAGAACAATATTGCTACGGCAGAGTTTTTTTCTTATCCTCTTTTTAATATTGTGACTTTGTGTACAACAGCAGGAACTATAAACTAGTTTAATAAAGGCACAGCTACTTTTATGATGCCTTATTTTTGTCATTTGACCCCTGAAAGAAATGAGAGGAAACAATGCAGCAAAAAACAAAAATACTTACAAAGAGCTTTCAAACGTGTCCATCACTTTCACAAAATCTTCCCTCTGCTATCTCATTATCCCTCACCTAAGCCCCTCCCACCAAACGACACAATAAACATGCGTGCCAACATTTGTCACTGCAAACTGTCTGTTCCACTCAGTTGGTTGTGTCTGACTTGGAAATAAGATACTGACATCTATTCAATATACTGTACATCCCAGAAAAGTTCAAAAACAGGTGTGTGCTGCATTGTGGCAGGAGAGAGAGAGAGAGAGAGAGAGACAGAGTGATACCTACAGACACAAGTCATGTAGAAGCCTGATGGTGCTAGTTTGTACAGTCACTGTGATTGGCTAGATACATGCAAGATAATTGTTTGATTCAGACCAGACAAGTAAAAAAATACTTAATACAAAGGAGAGTGTACAGGATCAGACACAATTTATTGTTTTATTTATTAAAAGGAAAATTAAAATTTAATATTGTATTGGTGTTTTCATGCTCACTAACTAAAAATGTCCTCTTCTTTTTGAGCTGCATGTGTGTGCGGCACATTTTTTCACCCTGACTGTATCCAGAGTTTTGACTTCCAGTCCCTTAGAATAATTTCTGTTTGAAGTCAGGGTGAGCAGCATGGCAAAGTACATACTCGTTTGTGTTTACACTGTGACACTTCAGACTCTGTAGCTTTTGTCTGCTATTTCCACATCATCCTTTTACATCACGTCCTGCCTCCTGAGACCATATTCATTGTGTTCACGTGAATATTTTCCCCTCTTTCTTCCAGGTGAACTGTAACGGTTTCACTGTGAGCGACCAGAGAGGGCTTCAAGCAGTCGGTGTCGGTCTTTTCCCAAATTTGTGTCTCGTGAATCATGACTGCTGGCCGAACTGCACTGTGATCCTCAACCACGGCAAGTAAGTAAAATGATTTAAAGTGCCTCTTGGGTTTTTAAGAAATGACTCTTCATGATATTTGTCCTTTAAAATGTTAATGTCAAAGGAAACCAAACTTTAACTTCATGTATAAAACTTAAAAAGTGTTTTCAGAGTCTGTGTGTGTGTATGTGTGAGTTTAGGTTCTGTTGTGTATTGTGTGAGTTTAAATTCTGTTGTGTATTGTGTGAATTGTTGTCCGTCAGGTTGCATTTGGTGTAAAACTGCTTCCTGTTTGTCTTTCAGTCAATCGGCTGTGAATACTATGTTTCATTCTCAACGGAGGTGCGTCACCTCAACCCGAGCCTTTTTGACCGTTCTTTATTAAAGCACAAATTAAAACATGTACATCGCATCTTATATATAACCACCATCCTCCATCAAAATCCATCTATTTAAAAAACAAAAACAAAGCCTGTGTAAGTAGTGCTGTGTAGTTTTCACTGTCAGCTTGATGTGACTCGGTTTTCACATCAACACATGCACATCTTTGCTCTAACCTTGACTCAGCGCTTTAGAGTCACTAAAGGCTAGTATAAGGATGTCTCACTGCCTATTTTCTCCACCTACTGATCAACTTCACATCCTTCTCTAACTGTTTGTCATGTCCACACAAAGTCTTACTCGTGTGTGTGCTGCTGAGTTTGTCACTTTGTGTGTTATCGCAGTGTGTCTGGCCATCGTGCAAACACAGACTGATGTGATTAAAGTCCACCTCTAACACCACAAAACACCATGCTTAAAAATAAAAATAAAAATGCATATAATTTCCATTTTGGTATTCACTTTTCTTTAAATTAATATTCATGATTATTAGAATAATTGAATATTAAATATTAATAATTGAATACCATTCCCTATAATTAAACTTGAATATTCACACAAATTTGTTAATTATGGAGAAAATCTTAGTTTTGCAATTTTTTTTGCAAAAATGTTATAATAAAATGTAATTATTCCGATGGCAAAATTAACAAAGAAAGAATGAAATCTTCTAAAAAGTGTCCAGCCTTGTATGAAAACGTGTATGTGCATAACATTATACTACATTTAGGAGTTGTACATTCACCAAAGCAGTTAGCTGTGAAATGGACTCTCAGATGTTTATTACTATTCACTCTTTCAATCCTTTACCTGGATTGACTGAATTGACGGAGGAACTGGGTTTCATCATTAATCAGAAACTGTATCCCCATGCCTGAGTTTGACTGTTTTTCTCCTCCTCAGGATCGAGCTGCGTTCTCTCGGCAAAATCTCAGAGGGAGAGGAGCTGACAGTCTCATACGTGGACTACTTGAATTTGTCAGAGGACAGGCGAAGGCTGCTGAAAACCCAATATTTCTTTGACTGCACGTGTGAGCACTGCAAGAACCGAACCAAAGATGACCTGAAGATGGGAGGGAGAGAAGTGGATGGAGTCAAGGTTTGTGCATGTTTGTCTGTGTTCAATTTAAGCTCGCCTTCCATGAAGAGAACCGTTTCATTCTGCACAGAGGCAACAAAGACCAACTCTGTCACTACTCTAACTCCTGGCAACGTGTGTGATGAGGAGTGATAGGAAACATGAGAAGCAGAGAGAGAGGGACTATTTTAAGCAAATGTTAACTTCCGATTAATTCAGCTTCATAACTGTGTATATGTTCCACCATTCACCTATACACTAGAAAAAAATAGTAATAATGAAAAAAAAAACCTTTGTTGACAGCAAAGTACTTCAAAGCTGGTATCTTTTTTTTATATAAACCAGAATCTATAATCACACCTATTTTATCTTCTTCTACACTAAGCCGCATAATCTTCCCTCTCCAACACTCTGTGGTGTAAACCAGAGTAGGACCCTGTCCTTGAATGATACACTTTGACGTTATCTTGTTCTTTGAAACACGAGACACCAGACTTATTATAAGGCAAAGGTTACTGGTCTACCTCATGTGATAGAGTCGATCGTATGTGTGCGTATGTCAGAGGTTATAAATAACAAAGGTCAGGGACTATTAGCAATAAAGATGTCCAGTTACTTAATCCCTTAGTTAGTTAATATTTTTTTAAGTTTGTAAAATCAACTAAATTGTTTTGTTATGAACACAATAAAAAACCTTCATGTGTCGTCAGAAGCTCTTCTGCAGGCTTGTACGTCTTATTCAAGAATAAATATTTAATAATCATTTGAAACTAATGGCAGAAAATAAATATAGAATTCATAATGTGCTTTTGGTTATTTTATAATCCCCTGAAATAAGTAACATAATGTGAGTAAATCATTTCGCTGTAATCTCCAGGCTCGCCACTAGAGGCCACCAAATCCCACACTTTGGCCCTTTCACAAAAAAAAAAAAAAAGCAAGCACCCACCTTTATGGACCTATTAAATGCAAAACTATGATGAAATATCTCCTCTGAAATACATTTTATAGAACATGTTATATGATATATTTTATTGCCAGTGTGTTCATATTCAAACAGTGAAAGGATTTTTTTGACATTAATGTAATCACTCTCTCTTTATCTCTCTTTTTTTTCAGCCCTCAGAGGAACAGGTGAAGGAGGCGACTGACTACTGCTTTGAAATGATGGAAAAAGTGGAAAAGTCTCGGTTAAATGGTAACTACCATGAGGTATTGTATCAAATTCCCTATAACATCATTTTTAAAGAGACTCCAGGAGTTGTTTTCATTTTTCTTACCTTGTCTTTATGTTCTTGTTTGTTTGTCTTCAGGTAGTAAAATATTGCAAGGAATGCGTGGACAAAACAGAGTCTGTTTTGGCTGACACTCACATCTACCTGCTGAGGATTTGGAGCACCTTAAGTGAAGTGCAAGCGTACCTTCAGTACTTTACTGACGCGGCGGATTATTCCCGTAAAATGGTGGACGGATACATGTGAGTACTGAACTTCCTCTTCCAACATCTCAAACATCATGTCCTGTTCAGAGCAAATAATTCTAAAGAAAAAAAACAACTTTCCGCCCATTACAGAAAATTGTACCACCCAAACAACGCTGCCCTGGGCATGGCTGCAATGCGAGCAGGAGTGACTCACTGGCAGGGCGGGGAGATCGAGGTCGGCCACGCGATGATCTGCAAGGCCTACGCCATTCTTATGGTCACCCACGGCCCAACGCATCCCATCACCAAGGACCTGGAGGTAAACACCTCGTATTCTCAAACCGTTCACAAAACTCTGCAACTGGAGGTGGCTACGCTTTCAGAGTATTTGCTAAATAACTTTTTGGGGGCCATTTTAAGTTATATGTAACAGATAGTGGTCAGATGGCTTTGTTTGATTTTGGATGCAATCAAAATGATCCTGATGACCCCAATGTTTAATTACCCTAATGTCAAATCTTATATAAATGACTACCAATGTACCATACCGTATAACTATTTGACAGAGCGAGGTGTCATGTAGTGATACAAAAAGAAGTATCTCTCGTTGCTTTTATGAGCTTTGCTGTAATCTCTGACTTGTTTTACTGTCTGACCTGCATTTTTTTCTGCTTCTGTTTGCTCACATATCTCTCACTTAGCCATTATTGCGACAAACAGGCTGCGGTTTTCAGCAGAGGGGCTTTAAAAACAAATTAACCTTGACCTGCCAAGAACATAAAAGCAGGCCGCCAAAAGCAGAAAAACACAGTTGTTATACATATATTTAGTGACTAGTGACTTTTTTTCTAGGTGTTGATAAATGTTTCTCCCCATTGCATTCTTTATTTTCTTATGGGTTGAACACAGTGAAAAACTCAGACAACAGCACTGATGTATTTTTATTCACAAAACCATACTGGGGGAAACGTCCAGCTCACCTCTGTAACCATCTCTAAGTACCCGTTGCGATCCTCTAATGTTGTCCTCTCTCCGATAATTAGTTATTGCAGATTTAAAACTTCTACTCGGCCATCTTTGTTAGAATATACATTTTTTAAAACTTTAAGCTGACAAAGGGGCAACATAAAAATATTTAGTTTTTTTCACATTTCTAAACCCATTATTGGTAGATTACCATTTTGTTTTTATACACACTCTCGAAAGCAATGACTTCAAATTATACACAAAACAGTCATAGTCCCAGGCCTGTTGCTCTATGACCTTCTGCGAGAACACTGCTAATGTTTCCTGTGGTTTTCCCCCCCCAACAGTCTATGCGTATGCAGACTGAGATGGAACTAAAGATGTTCAAAGAGAACGAGTATGTTTACCACAGTATGAGAGAGGCCGCTCTGAAGAACAAACCGATGGCCATGATGCACGAACCCAAGTCTGTGGAGGAAGGAATTAAGAACATGTTCCACCGGAAGAAATAATCACAGGACTGCAGTCAAGGAAACGTCGAGCAAACCCTTCTATTGTTTACGGCTTATAGATTTCTGAGTGTTGTGTGGATCTACACGGTTAATTACATCATAATTTTCTGTAACAGTTACTTTTGTAGTTTCACTTTTCATTAAAAACATTTCACATCAAACTTGTTTTTTTCCCCTCATTACTCCAAATCCAGTCACCTTTACATGTTTAATGCAAGCACTTCTGGACCAATTGCTCATTACATCAATAATTAAAATCATACTCCCTGCAGTTTGATGAAGGAATCTAGCTGATCAGCCAAATCTGGTGCAATGCATCTCCTCATTAATTGAGATGTATAATTTGTACATGGTCCCTGCAAAACTGCAGTTTATTAAATATTGGTGTACAAGAGAAGTTCATAGCGACAGGAATGCTTTCCAACTATATTGGGAGAGGCAACGGTTTGCACACCAAAGCTGCTTTCAGAACTTTTTCCATTTACAGATGTGACTAAAATTTTCTTTTAAGTTTTGCTGAGAAAGTTTAGATTTAAATCATTTTAATTTCAACTCTCCATTTGGCATAACGGGGTTATTCTGCTTCTCTGTGTGACAAGCACGTTACAAGTAAAACTCCCCCTGCTGCTCGATGGGTGTTCCTACCCCCCTATTCATTCCAGGATACAGAGTCAGCGCTGGAGAACCTGCCATTTCAAATTCAGCCGACTTGAACCTTTCAAGCTTCCTCTTTACATTCTCCTCAAATTAAGAGTGTTGAGAGATGATGAGGGCGTTGTCTCGAAGCAGTGAGAAATAAACTCTAACTTTGTACACCTTCAACCCAGGTTGATATAACTTTAATTTGAACGAAGTTAAGTTCCATAACCAACTGGGACTTTGTCAAATCACCTCTCCTTTCTTTTTACCCTGGTTGGGTGTGAGTCCCTGCAGTCAGGACAAAGACGACCTTTAGTTCATTACGCAATCAATTTTTATTTGTATAGCATCAACTCAACAATTGTTATCTCGAGACACATTACAAGAAAGCAGGTAAAAAGACCTTACTTATTGCTATATTACAAAGACCCGGCCTATCCATCATGAGCACTTTAGCAAAGCAGCAAAAGTTGCAGTGGCAAGAAAAAAACTGCCTTATTAAAATAGGCAGAAATCTTTGGCCGGATCCCCGGCTCATGACGAAACAGCCTTCACAGGCCTAGACTGCGCCGGGCTTGGAAAGGGATAGAGCCTTTTGTTCGTTAGATCGCACTTAGACCACAGTAAGTCCAGCTACACACGTGAGAGTCTGTTCCAATGGGTACTAGTCATCTACAATTTTCTAGTATGAACATGCAAGTTTTGTCCAAAGAAACTGAGACAATGATGAATTTTTTAACAATTTATTATAGTGCAGACATTTACATGCGTTTGAGCATCCGCTTGTATACAATACTGCCAAGAGTCATAGTCTGGAAGGAAAGGAAATTCAAATTAGAAACTCAAGAATAATCCAAGCATGTCAATGCAAGCAAAAAAAAAAAAAAAAAGAAAGAATTTTATTGCTGATCTGTGTTTTTCTAAATGTACTCACATTGAGAATTGTGTTCTCATCCACCAGTTCTGTGACGGACTCAATTCCCTTTAGGGAGACCTTCAGACTTTTGCCTTCACGCATTACAACCGCCTTAAGATGAAGCATAACAAAAACAAAAAATGAATACAAGTGCAAGTCTTGGACAGGTGTGCAGTGGGTTGTGATGTGGAGTTAAGCCAATTTTAAATGAGTGATATAGAGCCCTTAAATTTAACCTCATTACCCACCTTGACCTTCTCCCCAGTGATGGTCTCAATATCAGCCTCCTTTCCGATGGTGAAGGAGTTGGTGAGGACCTTTGTGCCAATTGTGACCGTCACTTTGAAGTTGTCACCAGTCTCCTCAATCTCAGAGATGCTTTTTATGTTTTTGCCTTTCTGGATGAGCTCATCAGGGAGACCTGAGAACAAGAACAAGCAACAGGTTGTGAGTTCATCCCAAATAGTTTGTGTTACTTTCATTCAAAGGCTTTAGGAGTTGAAAATTAGCACTGCAAAAAAAAAAAAAAAAAAAACAGAACAGGAGAACATCTCATATTCCAACTCTATCAATAAAAAAGGAAATGCGTCAAGCACTTAATCTCACCAGGGACTTTTAAAAAAAAAATTCATAGCAGAAAAGAGGTGAAGTAAAGAAGGCAGTAATCTCACCGATGGCCTTCATAAAAGGCTCAAAGTTCTCCTGTGACTCCAGCTGGTATTTTCCAGAGAAAGACATGGTAATAGACAGTGAAGGAAACGCAAGGAGCAACTTTCAGATAGTTTTATACTCTCTTACTCCAGCACTGCAATCATTAACTCAAGGTGTCTCCAATTTGAGGCAGATCCCGCCCTCTTTATCCAGCCCAGCACACAGACGATCCAGCAGTAAAGATAAAAAACATAAAGATAGAGGGTCAGGATGCCGAGACTATAACCCTCCCGTGACTGTATCTGTCACTTGCTGTCCATACCCAAGAATGCTTCCAATGATCTCTGTAGTCTTTTTTGTTTGAAGAAAGACAGACATATGATGACACTGCTTAATCACACACCAAAAAAAAGCAGCTGATTGGACAAAAGTTTGCAGTCTGGTTTCTGTTTGCTGCGTTCTCTCTGCTCATTCTTCCCCCTTTCTTCTGTTTTTTCCACTTTCAGTTCTCTTTTCCTCCATTTTTCTCACTGTCTCGAACCATTTTGTCTGTCGTTTAGCAAACTCCCTCACTACTTTCCTTGTGCAGGCTTTCACTTGTCCTTTTTTTTGTCCTTTTTAATATGCCTGCAACCAATCAAGTCACTTGAGAGCATGCATTTCTCCATACATTGTCTTAAAGGGATACTTCACCCATTTGCATTAAGCTTTGTATCATTAGAAACCTGGCAGTATTTTTGAATGGACGTGCATCCCGCCCTCATTTTCCCCTGAGACGGGAAATCTTTGTATTTCTGAGTCTGAAAAGGAGCTTCCAGTGACGCAAAATGGCGATTTTTGCGCCGGGGCCGGCTCGAGCTGGGGCGGACTGGTAGTGTCGGTGCTCTCACTGTTTGCCTATGGACACAGACATAGAGTCTGTTTTCTGCCAGGAATTTCCAAGATCAATTCTGGAAGAAATCTCTGAATCAGTTGAGGAAACGGCCTCACGTGTTGAAGTAAATATGTCTGTAAATGTTTTTATTACTATATTTCTACTGCTATATTGTATATTTTGGAGACACTGTATCGATCAAATTTCCCTCTGGGATTAATAAAGTGATTCTGATTCTGAACTAGAGGACCTTAGTGGGAGTGGCCTGTGGCGCTGTGCATTCTGGGATTTGGTGTCTTTCCTCAACATGAGCCAAAAAGACACTTTCTGCCTTTTCACGGCCAAGAAGGCACCAACCATTCTACAACATATATGACCCAATGTCAATACAGATTCATGTTTCAATGGGTGAAGTATCCCTTCAAACCAGATTTAACATTTCCGGGGGGAAAGCACACATTTGGACCAGAAAAAGTTTAGAATGAGATGTTCCACCACATTTTCCATGATATTTTTCACAGTGCTCCTGTGTTACAAATCCCAATTTTGGTGTAAATTTCTTAAGGTTGAGCACGGACATTAATGTACATTTTGTTTTTTTAGAATCCATAGAAGACCCTGCTGGAGTTCACTGTCTGCTCCACAGTGTGAACTCTACTCTACTGGTGCTTTACACAGGTGGAGTGACTCTTCAAGGTAAACTTCCTGAGCCTCTACAGAGCGAACAAAAGTGAAGACAAAATCATTCAATCAAGCGAGCACATCTTCAATAATTTGTCATCAGTGTTTCAGACATTCAGATGTGAACTCTGACTTCTTCTTTTTTTTTAACCAAATCTGAACAACGAGGTTAGTGCAAAATGGTTCAAAGGTGACTACCTTACAAGATAAGTGCTAAAAGTGTTGCAACAGTTACATTGTGTCAATGAGAGTTATATACACACACACACACACACGCACTGACACACACTTAGAGATAAAGCGGTCGGCGTGCTTTCTTCATCTGTGATAGTAAAAAACAGGTCGAGTAACGCTGCAGCCTGACAAGCTTTATGCTGACTTGTCCTTCCTGTGTAGTGAAAGGGTTTGAAGTTTTCTGATGTTGTGCTCTTGAAATAAAAAACAACACCAGCTAATCTTCCAAAATTTTATTTCAACATGCAAATATCTGGATGACTGCTGTCAGGACTCATCCCTATTTTTATACATAAAAATATATCAAGAAAGGAACTCTACAGAAGAACTTTACTGTAACTACATTACAACTACATGTCCCATTCCTTGTTTTCCCATGAGGCCGTGGAGTCAGGTGCAGCTCATTGGTGGACTCGATGTGAAGTGTGACCGGCCAGGTGCAGCAGCCTGAGGATGATGTCACCGGGGTCGCTGCCTTCGTATTGGCTGGTTTGCTCTTCTCCTTCCTCGTCCACGAGGCAGGACTGGTCAGTAGTGCAGCTTTCTGTGGCGGAGAGAGAAAAAAGGAAATACGGAAGTAGTTAAAGATAATTCCAGGATTGCTGTTATTGCAACCAAACACTTTATAATATGTTGTTATCAGGTTTAGTGTCCCAGGAACATAGGGTGAATGATCCAAACAAAGGTCACAGTGACTGTGGTGGAACTTCATAAAAACTGCTTAAAGCTGCTGTGAGGAGTTTATAGCTGGTTACGAAACACACATTCATTCATATGTAATTCTCTTTATTACCTAAAAACAAACAATCAGAGAGAAGAATTATCATAGTGACTATAGAAATGCCTGAAACCACTGCTAAGGGTTTAGGTAAGACAAAGTGATTAACTTCACAACACTGTCACAGCCTTTTTTACATTTTCCTCTGCCATTATTCATGGAGAGTGAAATATTTGACAGGTTTTGATCTCACATTTTAAAAAGTATTAAATACAGCTTCAAGGGGAATAAAGAAAGAGTAAACGATACACTTTTATCGACTTCAGAGAAAATCAGAGAATCGAAAAAGACCAAGTACTTTGAGTTTTCTGTTGTATCACTACACTGATTTACACAAGTCTTAACACAGGAGATAGTGTTTGCTTTTGTTGAAGATATTGATTTTTGGATCATTCATTGATTGTGATGATTTTTGTTGAAGTTATTAAACAATGTTAGTTTTTTCCAATGTTATTGGAAACCAATATTCTCATGCCACAAACACAGTAATTTGCACTGTTTTACAAAATCAAAGCTTGTCATAGATAGTAAGTAGATATTGTAAAATAATATATAATACAAGTAAATCACATAAAAACTGTCCCATAGTGAAGGAAAGTTTCTACCTGACTTTTGGTTTTGTTGATTTTGGCGCCCCCCTGTGGACAAAGTGTGACCCTTTATCTTCTTGCTGTACATGTGTAAGTTCTGTTGTCAGTAGAAATGATCATGCTGTCTTCTAACAGTTCAATGAATCACTCACTGTGAATCTTTGCGATGGAAAGTGTAACCAAACTAAATTTGTCTGACACATATCTGGAAGCAGCAGTTACATGCATTGGAATGACTATGAAGACATTATTAACCTTGTTGCTGATTGTCTTGCTTGCTTACAGGTCATATTGAGACGTCAATATACATTTTACTGTTCTTCATCAAAGGCTAAAAGCTCCTCACTGTAGCTTTAATTAAAGTTTTGATGGTAGGTCTTAAATTCAAAGGGTGTATTTTTACAAAGCGGTATTGCTACTTTTGTCTCAACGTAAAAGATCTGAACATTTCTTCCACCACTGTTTAATATCTGACCTGCGTCACAGCAGACTCCTGAGGCAGCGCAGCGTCCGCCCTCAGATCCACAGGGTCTCCCTCCCGCCTGGCAGGGGGTGAGCAGGTAGTTCTCCTCCACACAGTGAGCTGTTTCTGGGGAGCCCAGCAAGCAGCCGAGGCCCTCCCCGCAGCAGATACTGGGGCCGAAGCAGCGGCCCCTGTCTCCAGGGCCACACGCCATGCACTAGAGGAGGAAATGGTTGGTCATAATCACTGTTGTTTTCATTGTAATGTCTGTACAGAGTTTTTGCCTGTGCTTCTTCAACTTTCCAAACTGACTTACATCCCTTTATTCTGCTTCAGGATGAGTTTCACAACACACAAAACTCCCTTTTCTGCAATAGTGAGATCAAAAACACAATTTCCAAGGGAGGGAAATTTTGAAATGTAGCCATCAACTTTTCATGAATGTAGTTTTAGTTATTTTTTTTTCAGATACCATTCAACACCTATTGCCTATCTAGCTGTTCTGAAAAAGGGATAACTGTCAACAATTTTGTTTGTGCCAATTAGTTCTTATCCAATGAAAATTTAAAGGATGAAGCTTGTAGAAAAATCAAACAGGCAAACCTAACTCTAACCCTTTCACAGAGTTGTTAAAATGGTGATACAAGCAGCTCACCCTGCGCTGTGGTGCGTCCATGATGGATCTCTTTCCTCCGATAGGACAGTTGGAGATGTAACATGCTGAACAAACAGACAGAAGGAAAAGTAGGCACACAGACACAGCGGCTCCCGTCATTTCTGCAGAGAGAGTGGAAGAAAGATGTAAAACAGAATACAGCACACAATCAAAGCTTAACTTCAAAGTTTAACAGATATCCACATCTCACTTGTTGGCACTTGATGAAGAGAAGAGTTCAAGTGTTTCGTTTTAGGCGCTCCTGTTTCTTCTTCTGTCCTTTGTGCGTCTGAAAGGACTTATATACCTCCAGAGCTCCTTCAGAGAGTGACACCGAAACCAAAAAGCCACTTAACGGTTCCTAATGAGTCTTTTTTAGTTCGTGTCACCTCTTGGAGATGGAGTTGACCACTAGGCAGGTCAAAGGGTTAGATGGTTCTGTGGCCTGCTTTGCTTCTTACTATAGAGAATCATTAAAGACAGGCCTGTGCTGCGTGACCGTGCATGTACGAGATGACGGAAAAATCAGAGAGGTCAAGAAGTGAATCAGGAGGTGAGATTAATCTATAAAAAGGAGCAGATGTGAGTGTGGTACAACTCTGATTTAACTGAAGACACATTTTAAAGGCTTTCTGTGTTTTAGTTGAAATCCTTTTTTGAAGAGGCGATTTTTCCTCAAATTAGAATTAAAAAAAAAAAAAGAGGCAAACAGGCAAGTCAACAAGTGATATAGGAAAAAATGAAAGAGTAAAAAGTAGGGAAAAATAGGTGTAGGATCTCCTTCTGTTTATTTTTCCCGGACAAAAAGGCGGGAAAAGGTAAAAAGACGGCTGTAAAGGCCTCAAGAAGAAGAAGAAGTCCATCTTTAAACCTGGGCCTTCTTTCCCGCCATCTTTTCTTGGAAAGGTTGTTCACAGAGTTTGTCGGTGGGCCGGATGCTCGTAAATAAAAAAAAAAAAAAAAAAACTGTTGCCAGAAAAAAACACACACATACCTACAAATGTTCCTCTCTAATCATAAAGTCATTAATTCCTGGCAGGAATTGACGCACACATTGTCCAGGTCGCAGGTTGATTGGTGTTAACGGCAAATTAACTTGGCTAATGATCTTCCACAGCCCACGAAAGAGGGTCTCACTGTTTCAATGATATGAGCTCAATTACTGCAGCTCCCCCCTGACCCGCTAACTGCCACCTCACTCAATTAAAACACGACGTTATCACGGCGAAACTTCTGTGCCAAGACGGAGAAGAGTGGGACACTGAGACGTGGCAGGGTTTATTTAGATCATAAAACAGAGATGAAGACACCGTTAGTAGACATGCAGCATGTCTGAGTGTTGTAAACCAGAATGACAGGAAAAAAACAGGACACCATTTTGCCTCCTAGTGGCAGTTTGAATACTTTACTATACATGCATTCATTTTCATTGTAAAGGTGTTTGACCTGTGATGCTTTGCAGACGGTTGGAAACATAACTTCATTTTTATATGTGCAATCTACTACAATTAAACTAACAACATTTGATGTAAAAACTACATGAAACTATTTCCTTATTATTATTTTTTTAAGTTAAAGAAAAATAAACCTAAAATGTTTTGCAGAAGTACATTTTGTTGCAGGGCTGCAGCACTGTATGACATTATATAAGTATTTTTTTATGTAATGCCCTGCATGACTAACACGAAGCACATACACTTTATCTGCTCAAGCTCAAAGCAAATTCTTTCAGTGCTGCTTAGTGTGAAAATATATGTATATAGAGTTCATATTTGTTTTCAATATAAATGTTATATGTGCTTTTCTTTACATGTATTTTGTTTAGGTTTCTAAAGAGAAAAAGACAGGATGTGTTCATCTTCCATCACTGCATGACACTTCACAGCAGCTACACATTCAAACTGCATTGTTTTTTTGTGCAAAATCAAATCTTTGCTTCTCTGTGTTCATCTAAAAGCTTTGTAAAATCCCTATTTCATCGAGAAATGGAGATGTCTATCTAGTGTTTCCTTATTTTTCTGCAGGAAGGCACTAGGCTTGTTGACTTCCTCTCCCCTCCCTTCCTTCCTTCTCTCCGAAGGTACTCATCTGAAAAATGAGAACAAAGTGATTGTTCCTGTTCTCTTTCTTAAGTCACTTCAAATGCTATCCGCGGACGGGCGGCTCATTGTCAGGAGAGTTGCAGCTCGAGCAGGAGGGAGAGAACGCAGGTACAACAGCAGCAGCAGTGGCGGCAGCAGCAGCACTTCATCCACAGCATCACAGAAACACACTCCACTACACTCAGCCGGTAAGTTCCTCTCTCACACACACACAAACACCCACACACACACACACACACACACGGACTAGGCTGCAGCCTCACACTAACACACGCTTACATGGCACTGACTGGCATGTGAGGAGGGGCTTGGTTTTTAATGGATTGTTTGGAATGCATGGAGGGGCAAAGTACAGGCTGGGGTCTCTGCACAGTGCACCTTAAGTGAGGGAGATGCTAAAAGAGCAGGATTATATGCAGGAGCCAAGAGAAACATTGAACATGTCAGCATGCATCTTATAGTTAAGTCAGTAATCATACATTTAATCCCAAAAACCTTTGTTAAAAAGTATACTTCCATTGTTTGCTAATTATATTGTTTATTAAGGGATATTCACTGTTTTTCACAAGTTTATGTAAACAGTAAATTAAACAAATCTTATCATGGTAGATATGGAAGTTTCGTGATCTTTGTTTTATCATCTTTATCTTTGTCGTCCACAGTCTTCCTCGCTTTTTTTTTATTTCAGAGATGTTGCTTTTATATTATGCTGCAAGTCTGTATCATTCAGCTGAGTTTCTGTCCATCAGTCAATCAGCTACAAACCTTTATATTTTTTTTTTTGTCCAGTTTTGTCCGATATCAGGCATATTTAAAAAAAAATAGCGAATCAGAGAGTGAACTGTTTCGCTCATTTAAAAATATTAGAGAAAGAGCAAAGATACCCAAATGTTGCTTGGTCGGGGTTCAGTGTAATTTCATTTGACTGCTTGCTGATGTGACTCTAAAGCAGTGGTTGTCAAACTTTTCTGTCATGGCCCCCCTTTCCGCACCCTCCCACCTGAATGTAAAGGTGACTTCAAGGGCCAAGACCAACTTTGGCAAAATATCATTAAGATTGTGAACATTCACCTCACCATGGTGTGTGCAAACACATGAAGCGATAGTGATCTACTTTAACTACTTACATTAATGTATTTAAATGTGTCAAAAAAAACAACATCTGTATAAAAGACAAATTTATAATGTATTTTCTTGAAATTGAACATCTTATAAATGTCAATTTTTTTTAAAACTTTCAATTCTGTATTTGTTTCTACATTAAAAACGAACACAAAAAAGGGCAACATTTAAATATTCTCATCTTAATTCACCTCTGGACACACCCCACCTGTGGCCCCCCCCCGTTATTTCTCTGGATACAGTAACCTCCCACCCCACCCCAGCCCAGCCGTCCCACCCCCACCCTCCCAGTAGTCCCACCCAACAATATGAGAACCATTCATCCCTTTTTTGTTTAACAGTTTTTATTGGGTTTTCAATTAGCAACATCAATGTACATTTGTTTGCAACATACACGGCAAGTAGACATTTGCACATAATTAGCACGTTTGGAATGGATACAGTCCCTCCCACCCCAGCCCTCCCCCCACCCAACTGCCCCCTCATGTCCAGATGTTACAGGAAAAATAATGCATTAGTATTAGAACCATTCATCTTAAGTCTTCTTTTATGGGGGGAGAAACTGTAAAGACATTTTCCTCTATTTTTGGAGATTTCTGTCCAAACAATGAAAACATTGGTTGAGAAATGAATCTGCAACTTAAATAAGACTGAACATAATCTTTAGATGCTGACTTTTATATTTTGAAATGTGCAATTGGTTTGTAATTGTTTATACAAAGTGTAATTAATGCATCTGAAGCGTCACATTAAAAGAAAGTAGAACTTGCGGTCATGCTACAGAATTAGACTGAAATGGATGTCAGCAGTTTCTCATTGATAAGCACTGAACTATTTACAGCAATATGAACAAAACTGCAACGCATGATTTGGATTTCATTGAAGAGAAGTCCAACAGTTCCCCATCACTCTGAGTATCATTATCTCTTCACCCATGACCATCATCTGCACCAAAGTATGCACAAACTGCAGTGAAGACGTTATTTATATTTCTTAGGACATAAAAACAAACACAAGTTCACATGTATCAGTTATTTTATCTGACTCAGGCTGCTCAGAGAGATGCTGATTAAAACCTGTTGGTACAATCAGTACAGAAGAAAAGGAGAAGTTCTTCCTCGCTATCAGTGCAAAACAAAAAAAAAAAATGAACAGAGCATGCAGAGAAAAAAAGACAAAGAGAAGCGAAAGGAGTGCGGGAGGTAGCGGTGAACATTTCTGATAACTTCCTAATTTCAGGAGAGGAGAAGATGTGTGAGAAAGGAAGAAGTGAAAGGTTTCAGGTAAACTGAGAGTGACGATAACAGAATGCATGTACTGAAAGTGTGGATCCAGTTTCATTACGACAACAGAAAGCCTCAGAGAAACCGTTTCATATCACACAAAGCTGTATTTCAAAAACATTAGTGTGACAGTGTGTGGATCTGCAAGTAAGCAGAAGGCATACATAGACAGCGTGATGAGACATAAGACATAAGAGGTAAAACTTTTTTCTACTGGGGGTACCATGATGAAAAGGGAATGTTCCATTTACAATTAAAAACTATTACCATTTTTTACCCCCCAACATTTTATACAATGCATTTTTTTTTACATGTCAAGATTTCCCACAATGCAACAAACTGAAAATACTGAAAATAGCTCAGTAAGGCTTTTGGTTGTGTCATGTTGTTATTTTTTATTTAGACACATGTAGTAAAAAGTTTTTTCCACATGTCCAGTTTAAGTTTCACAATGACCTGCATTTATAAAACTGGAGGTATTCTCCTTTAAGTACACTTCTGATTAGTTCTTCCACCACTGTAATTGCAGATATTTAACCTCTTGTACTCTTTTTTAACACAGAGAGAAAATGGAGAAGGACGGAGTGAGTTTCCCACCAGCAAGAAGTCCTCCTCTCAGAGACGAGCTAAGACAAGCTTCTCAGCACAGTTTCTATCTGAGCCCTTCTCCGCTCTACATTAAGCCCTCGAAATTCTCCCCTCCCAGATACCCCAGCATGTCACCCACCAGAGACTCCTACAGCACGTTCAGCCTGCCTGCTTTCTTTCCCATGATGGGCCCCACTTATATACAAAAAGAAGGATCCCAAAAACGCAAAAGAACTCCTTTCAAAATGGACGACCAAGGAGATGAACCCGCCAACAGAGGAGAGGAGGAAGAGGAGGAGGAGGAAAGGCGAAGTAAGACAACTTTGGACCTGGACCACAATCCTTTCTCCCTCCCACCTCTTCCTGTTCCTTCCCCATCTCCAAAACTCATCCCTGGTATGATTGAGCTGAACAGACTGCAGCTCCACCACAGATCACCTGGCATCAATCTACCTGTGCAGGTCAAACAGGAACCTCTCAGTCCCTCCCCTGTTTGGCCTCCTTCTCCTCTCCTCCTCCACCCTCCCTACTTCCCATCCCTCCACCATCGCCTCCTCCCCTACCCCTTCTTCATGCCCGGTCCTGTTATGCACCTCTCCCCTGGGTCTTTCTACCCAAGAGAGGACCTCCGTGCCAGGCATCGCAGCCGAGACGGACCTCCCCGGGGTGGGACAACAAGTGCAGAAAAGCTCGGTCTCAACGTCCATGTGGATGACAGTTACTACGTTGACGTGGGCGGAGATCAAAAGAGGTGGAAGTGTCGCATGTGTGAGAAGTCCTACACCTCAAAGTACAACCTGGTCACGCACATTCTGGGACACAATGGCATCAAACCTCATGGGTGCCACCTGTGTGGGAAGCTGTTTAAGCAGCTAAGCCACCTGCATACACATTTGCTCACACACCAGGGCATGAGGCCACACAAGTGCCAGGTGTGCCACAAGGCCTTCACTCAGACCAGCCACCTGAAGAGACACATGATGCAGCACAGTGATGTAAAGCCATACAGGTAGAGCAGGTTTTTTTTTTTTTTTAGCTTTTTATTTTCAGTTGTTACCTTTTTACCCTGTTCATCAACTCATTTTACCTGCCCGTTTCAGCTGCAGTGTGTGCGGCAGAGGTTTCGCATACCCCAGTGAGCTCCGTGCCCATGAACTGAAGCATGAAAAGGGTCAGGAGAACGTGTGTGTGGAGTGTGGCCTGGATTTCCCCACACTGGCACAGCTGAAAAGGCACCTAACTGTGCATCGTGGCCCCACTCTGTACAGGTGAGCTTAAAAATGTGCTTTTATATATCAATGTCTTTGTTATCAAAGTAGTTGTTCGACATTTTGGGAAACAACCTTATTTGTTTTCTTGTCGAGAGTAAAACAAGAAGATTGATACCATTGATGCCTACACACAGTTTAGTAAGCAGCCAGTGAGCTTAGCTTAGCTTAGCATTAAGTAAAACAGCTAGCCTAGTTTGTCAGACCATAACAAAATGCAGCTACTAATGCCTCTAAAGCTCACTAACAGGCGTGTTAAATTTGATCATCAAAATAAAATAAAATCTAAAAAAGTCCAGAGAAAAGCTTTAGAGGGGCTGATAGATGGATTCTCCTTGCCAGTTTCCCCCAATGTAGTTTTTTGTACTACAGTGTGCTAAGCTAACAGTTTTAGCCAACGACATGAGGGTGCCATCAATTATATCATTTCATAAAATGTAAATAATGCACAAGTGTCTTTTCTTTAACAGTGAACAACTGTTTTATTTCAGTTCTCTATCTCTGTAAAAATGAACTAATGTACACATGTTGATCCTGCAGGTGCACTGAGTGCCAGAAGACTTTCCAGTACCCGAGCCAGCTTCAGAACCACATGATGAAACACAAAGACATCAGACCGTACATATGCAGCGAGTGTGGGATGGAGTTCATCCAGTCACACCACCTGAAACAGCACACACTCACCCACAAAGTAGGTTTCAATAAAGGGAAGAAAACAGTTTGAATGAATTTTGTCAAAATGTTTGATTTGTTGGGTTTGGCATCCAGTAGAGTTATTAATTGTTCTGTCACTTGATGTGAGTCACACTATTGTTTGTGCAGACTTTGGAAAGTGAAGTCGTGTGGACAGTAGCTCAACAAGTTGTTTTGGCAACTGTTTCAAAGCATTTCCACTTCAGTTTTGGCTCCCGATGCTATTTTAAATCCCTTAATCTCAAGAGTTGTATCTTTTGTTTCCTATTTAATTAATGTTGGTATAGAAAAACTATCTGCTTCAAAACTGTTTGACACTATTATATTTAAATATCCTGTAGAAGACTGTCCAACGTCTTTATGTTTACATGGCTGTATTGCCCAATCAAATAGATTCTTGACATCTTGGAATAATTTGAAACACATTGCCTGAAATAAACTTTAAATCATTTGGATCTGAAAACCGATCAAAAGATACTAAAATAAAAACAAGTGGCAATACAGTTCAGAATAACCAAACATTAAACAGCAGAAAGACTTGTCTGTTGACTACATTTCTCACACCACTACTTCCCACATTCTGTCATTCTTCAGGGCGTGAAGGAGCACAAGTGTCGCATCTGTGGTCGTGAGTTCACCCTGTTGGCCAACATGAAGCGCCATGTTCTGATCCACACCAACATACGGGCCTACCAGTGTCATATGTGCTTCAAGAGCTTCGTCCAAAAACAGACCTTAAAGGCTCACATGATCGTCCACTCGGACATCAAGCCATATAAATGCAAGGTTGGTCAACATCTATGATCTGGCTTTTTGGTCTCGTGTTATGACTTTTAATCCTCATTTGTTTCTTGGCCGAGCTAAATGTAGAAACTGTCCTGATGGGGAAAATGACAGAATCGGAAAAAGAAAGGTTCCCTAACTGAAGAAGGTTTCCTAACTGAAGCCCTGTAGCTTTTGTCCCTAAACCAAACTAACCCTTAACCATGGCACAATCACAGCATTAAACTTAGTCATTAAACTTATCTTAAACGGGTTCAGGAGGCAAAGGAAATGTTGTTCTCCTTTACTAAAGGCAGGTATGTGACCAATTAGTAAACGTTTAAAGGGTGACAGGCTAGCTGCTTCCTGTGTGCATGCACGGCTTAGCTTACTGCTTGCATTAGCTTCATATCCTATATATCATTGCCTGCAAGAAAGCTGATGTGCTTTTTTAAAAAGATATATATATTTCCACTGTTGGACACAACAACTTAAAAGATACCAGAAAGAGGGGGAATACGTGCCTTAGCCATGGGTTGTTGATCTATAACTGATGCGGCTAAAAACGGAGCCAAACCAGCACCCCAAAAGAGCATGTCGAACAATTGCGAGGTGTTTGGTCAACGCCATCAAAACTCCAGGTGCTTCCTTTAATCTGTGTTTATTGATGAGGCTAAACCTGTCTTATTTATTGTTAGCTGACATTTGTAGAGTCTGTTGGAGTGTCTATGTTGACCTTGGTGTTTGGTGCGAGGACTTAGACGATGACCAGATAGCAGAGAGGCTTTTTGGCAGTAGGACCTTCCTCGTCCATAGGAAGGATATCGCCGCACAAACTGCCTCTCTAACAATGGCCCGCTTGCCTCCCCGGAGAACAGGGCCCTCAAATAGATTTCATCTCGCTTTCTCTGCTGCTGGAGGGAGCTTCCTGTTTTCTCACGGTCCTCTTGGACAGTTTACAGTCCCTCTCTCCTCCTGAAGGAAAGGACCACCCTAATAAAAAAGAATGCAGAGGAAGGACAGCGCAGGAGTAGCCCTTCCCTGTTCTCCTCCTGGCCCTGTCTCCATGTTGCTTCCTTTCTCTCTCTCTGTTTTTCTTGCGTGCATGTGTGTGTCAAGGAGTAAGAGGGGAGGGGGGGGGGGACTAAGAGGAAAAGAGGAAAAATGTGGATAGAAGGAAGGAGAAAGGGTGTGTGTCTTTGTTTATCTCAAAGCCTGCACATTCATTCATGATTGCGTATCTCTACAGCTTGCATTCTCTGAATAAGTCATCTACCAAAGGAGTTTTGGCGCACAAAGAAAAATAATAGAGGTGTATTGTTTCGGCCTATTGTTTCTCTTTCCTCAAATAGTTTTTACTGCAGCCACTCAAGGAGTGTAAATAAATACATTCACTCAAAGCTTGCATGCCAGTTTAGGCTGTTTCACAAATGTCTGCCATTTCCCTAAATTAAAGAGGCAGTAGTTTGTACTCACTTGACTATATTTAAATGAAAACTACACAGTTACTTTTAGTCCAAACAACAGATACAACTGCAAAATTAGGACATTTACTTTCAACAGATTTGCTAAAAATACATTTGCACTTTAACTTGAGGCCTGCACAGCTTAGTACAACTAATGTTTTTATGTCTATATCTTACTTCCCCATTCATGTAAAATACGGAGTGTGCTGCTACCTTTTGGATTTTTTATTAATGACTGAAAACCTTTTGTTGTTACCTTTTTTAGACATAAGCTTAGTTTCAATAGCTCTGCTGTCATCAGTCTACCTGTGTCTGCTCAAACTTATTAAGAAGAGTCAGTTAGTTATTTATTTCAAAGTGGGTATTCCTCCTTTCTTACATGTGCTTACTGATAGGGAGTTTGGTTGAGTTAAGGCAAAAACCCTACTTAGTTTAGTTTGGGGCTGCTTAGATTTACTTGGCGCCTCTTTGGCTAATTTTAGTCAATGGACTTATTCTTCTGGGTATAGAAACTCTAGTCCTAAAAAGAACACCTCTGGCTCCAAAACAAGACAAAACTGGCCATAAACCCGGGTTTCAAAGTTTCAAATTCCACCTCAACAAGTCCACCTCTTATGTACAGTCTGTGAAGTGAACAGCTTTATTATTTGTTTTCTCCTCACTTAACCAACCATGCACCTCACTCCCTTGTCTTGCAGCTTTGTGGGAAAGAGTTCAACAGGATGCACAACCTAATGGGCCACATGCATCTCCACTCAGACAGCAAACCCTTCAAATGCCTTTACTGCCCCAGCAAGTTCACACTGAAGGGAAACCTCACCAGACACATGAAGGTCAAACATGGAGTCATGGACAGAGGGCTGGATGAAAGACGTAAGATTGCTCTTATTTTCCACTTGCATGCATATCTGTTGCAAAAGTTGCTCGATTTAATCGATATTTCTCCAACCTCAGTGTTTAGGCAAAGGGGACGATACTGCCTGTCTACTCCAATGGGCCTCCTTACCCGCTTCAGCCAGGAGGAGCCATTCGACCTTTCCCAGAAGCCCTCGGGCCTCCCCAGCCTCCGACTCTCACAGTCTGATGGTGAGAGCGTCCCTGGGAGCTCGTGTCAGGAGGAAGATGAGGAGAGTTTGTACAGGAGGAGCCCGTACAGCCCCGAGCCGGACCACCACGAGCCAGCGGGAGAAGAGCAGTACTCCCCTGAGCTGGAGGAGAGAGGGCAGGGGTCTCCAGCTGAACTACGACCAAAGAAGAAGCAGAGACAAATGTATCAGGATAGTTTAGAAGAAGAAGAGACATATGAGAGGCAGTCAGAGACAGAGGAGCAGGCTGTAGACTCCAGGGGGGAGCAGGACCATCTCCTACAGTCAGAACACACATCTGAGTTAGATTACGAGTCTCATTCAGAGCTTGGAGAGGACCAAGAGACAGGCTGCAGACAGTATGATTCTGACTCAGATTCTGAGCTAGATAACCACCAGGAGCTAGATCATGAAGAGCAAAGTGAACAGCAGATTCTTAGCATTTGTGACTAAACCTACCATGAGGCAGAGAGGAACCAAAGCAGATTAGGCTTATTAAGTGAAATCATGTGAGCACCATTAGTGCGAAATGAAGAAGAAGAAGCACAATAATAATAGAAGTCAGACGATGAAATAGAAGAAGTTAATCAGTGCCAGGTCTACTCGTCAGTTAAATGGATTGTTCATGTTTTTTTTATTAATGTAAGCCCACAGTGCAGTTTGTTGTCATGTCTAAGCAGAGGCTTGCCACTAGCTGGAAGTAGCACTGCTAAATTGCTACTGCCATAACGCTCTACTACGCGGCTGTAAACCAGCACTGTAGTATCTTGCAGCATGTAGCAGTTTAGATGTATTTTAATCTAGAAAATGGAGATAAACAGTATGCAGACTCTGTGAACTCTTGTTTGGTCGTGTTAAATATACTGTGCTAAATTTTGACTCTTTTCTGAGGGATTTTGCAGTTCGCCCAGGAACATTTGAGTTCATTTCTGAATAAAAATTGGTTATGGATGAGGTGCTGTTTAAGCTTAGCACTGTAACAAGAAATACAATTATATAGTTTTGTCAATTAAATAAATACAACTGACATATAAAGCTGTGAAGCATTCTGCATGTAGACAACATATCATTCATAATCACTGATACGTCAATGTTCATTGATTGGCGGAAAGGTTCTGTGAGGGTTAATCTTTTTTTGTACATAAAATAAAAATCATATTTAATGTTTATTTTTTTTTCTTTAAAATAGTTTTATAATATTGAATAACAAAAGTCACGTTTGAGTTTTCTTTATATGTTGCCCTTGTATTTTGTGTAAATGTATGAGGTCAAAATCAATACTGTGTTATTTCTGAGTCTTTTGTTTATGTTTTGGGGAGATTTTCTTATTTTTTTGTTCATTTGTTGGTGGGATTTTGTACTTAAATTGAGATTTGGGTGTAACATTGTTATTTACACACAGACAGACTTGGACAAGCTTGATGTATCATATCCATTCAGTGTCTTTATGAAATAAACTGCAAACTGTGTTTGAAGTTTAGTGTTTATTTTTTTTAAATACTTGGGTATGGGTGGCGAGGGATATGAGGGGCCATCCATGAAATCTGATTGGCCAACCTAAATTATAATTGGCTATTTGCCTTATCAGAGGACTTAATAGCTTTCTTTGCTTTTGTTAGCTCTTTTAATCGTGACATTGAACATACATCTATTTGAATCTTTAAAGAATAAAGCAAAGAAGATTCATACGTTGCCACTTCTGTCACTTTTTAAAATAAAACGAAATATAAGAAGAGAAATAACATCTTAAGTTGTTTGTTAATCTTGAGTTGTAAGGAACGTTAGTAGTTAAGGCATCTATAATACGATTCATTGAGATAGAAATGGATAAATTAAGGCTAATTTTCATTTATACGTGCACACACACACCTCATGTGACCCCTATATAAGCCAGTGCCCCACTCAAAGAAGTCTGGATCCACCCTCCCTTTGATTGCTCCGTTTTTTGGGGGGGATTTGTGAAGTTTTATTGCATGTCCGTGTGATGGTGGTCAAACGGAACATTGTGCAGGACAAATACAGAAATAAAAGTTGAAACCCCTGAAAAGAAACCTGCGTTCTGTAGTTTTTTTTAACAGCCCACAAACATCCGATGAGTGATCCTGAAGAATATAAGCCCTGATAATAAATCTGAGTCCTCTTTTTTTTTTTACCAAGCCAGGGATGATTGCCGTGTGTTTCAAAAAGCTTGCCTTTCTCCTCCTGCTTCTCTTTCAAAGCGGAGGAAGAGGAAATGAAAACACCTCTCCCCTTCTCTCTTTTAGGTTGTGATCAAACAGTGGTGACGGACACAGTGGGTGTCCCAGACAAAGGCTTCATATGTCTGCGTGGCTCAGAATGAAGCATTGTTTCTCCTCATTGCAGAAGCCCCTCTGAAAACAGAAACAGTGCTGGTATAAAGAGTGCCTAAAAAGTTTTTCTTTTAAAGAAGCTGCATGAACAGACAGAGCATCCTTTCCCATCTCACAACTTTTATAAAGTAATGCAGCAAAAGGTCATTGAAGGTCTTGTTTATCACAATTTGAATGGTTTCAAGTTCTCTTTGCTGTGCTTTCACATTACACCTCATTATATCGTGCCAGTTCAGGTAAACAGGGAGTAATTTCTTGTCACATAAAATGCAGAACAGCAGCTTCTCTTTTTCTACTACCGACGACCACCGTGTCCTAAAGGGCGAAACTGCAAACAGTTTGAGGAAGTTCTCACATCCTCCTCTCCTTTCCTTTCCTCACCTACATGTTTCAATCCCAACCACCAGCTCAGAGAGGAAGCACATAGTGGATCTGCTGCTAGTGTCTGTGTCTCCCATCCTAAACTGGCCTCTCTCTCAAACAATCAATCATATACGTTATTTTTGCAAAACACGCAATGTACTTCAAGGTGCTTCTCGAGCACCTGATAAAACATAGGAGTTGAAAATGAATGTAGAGACCAGGCACACCAAACAAATCTAGAAAAAAATGAATAAGATAGTTATATGATTCTAAATAAAAAAAACAAGACGCACCAGAGATGATAACACAAGCAGAGAAAATAACAAAATGATAACATTGAAAAACATGACACAAAATAAAGGGATTCAAAGTCAACCAAAAAAATAATAATCTCAAAAGACAAAACAGAATAAAATAAAGAATATGAAATAAAGATAGATACATGATTGAAATAAAATCATAAAGCAATGCATAACATCCAAGCAGCAACATATTATTGAATCTCTGAATAGCAATATGTGCAGCAAATAAATAGCTCACCAACCTGATAAGCTTCTCATTTATTATAGTTCTGCTTGATTTTAAAGAACTGAAACTTCAGAGACCATGAGAATGTAAAGATCAGTCAGGCCCTCAGGAGAACAGGTACACACAACAGGTAGTTTCCTGAGCAGAAAACGAACCGTGTGGTTAGAAAGCTTCATGTTCTGCTTTTGCAAAGCTAACAAACTGATAAAGATCAGGGCAAGTACCAGCAGATATTAGTGCTTCACAGAGAAATTCAAAATAGTTCAACATTTTAGATTCATTCTCAGACAAAGCTTGAAAATACATTCACAGAAGTTTGAAAGCTAAGTTAGCCTGAAAGAGCGACGTAAAACGACTCTTAGACTTTTCTGCAGCTGATAACTTTGATTATCAGGGCTCGAGTTAAATAGATAAAAACAAATAATCCATCTGAATGCCTTTTCTACTTCTTGGGTAAAGTTCACTGTAATGAGAATTTATCCCCAAGACTCTCTGACTCAGTGCACAATTAGTTGATCAATTTTCATCTTTAATTTGCAATGAAGCAGAATAGTTTTGGTTCCTTGGGGTGATTTTGTAATTTTCTTGATTTAGAATAGATGAGCATTGATAATAGAACAGAATTGAATAGAACCAAATAGAATAGAATGGAATAGAATACAGAAGAGTGGAATAGAGTAGAATACAGTGAAGTGCTATAAAATATAATACAAGAGAAAATAATATAATAAGAGAAACTTATTAAAAATCTATGTACAGTCTATGCATAAAATAGAATAAAACCGAATAGAATGGAGTAGAATGAAATAGAATAGAATAAAAAAGAATCGAACAGAACAGAACAGAACAGAACAGAACAGAACAGAATAGAATAGAATAGAATGTCTTCATTGGCCTTTCACAATGTGCGATACAATTTGTTTTGCTTCTCTAAAACAAAAGAAAAACATTCATGACACACCCACATACATTCTGCCACACACACATGCATTCCAGTTGACATCTCTGTGGAGGGGATACTTTCAGCTTCGGACTGTCGGTCTGACAAAGTTTGGAAGTGGTAGAGCTGTGAGAAATTGTAAAGACCAAATGGACGAGCATGAACTTTTTTAAATGCTGATTAATAATAAAAACTTTGAGATGAAACCTTACACTTCCTTATTCATTGACCTGATGCTTAATAAATGTTGGTTTTTATGTTTCTACAGATTTATGGTTTTATAGAATGGGTTACTGCCAATCATGCTTCATGCCTGATGCCGTGCAAAATGTGTGAAGCATGATAACGCTGACAAATAACTGCACTCTTTTTGAGCATTCATAATGCAAGAGTGCAGTTAGACATTAGACAATCCTTACATCCTTTTATATATATATTTAAATTTCCCCATTGTGGGATAAATAAAGGATTATCTTATCTTATCTTACAAGACATGAATGGAGGTTATTTCTTCTCAGACTCTTTTCTTCTAAAAAGTTGTCTGTTTTTAATCTTGCTATGTAAACATAGTCAGAATGTACCTTTGTTATTCTGTCGTTTTTACCCTACTTTAGAAAGGTACAAAGAAACCATTGTTCAATCTTTTCTGTCTTCTTGTATGTCATTTTGAACCTAATTAGTTTTTGTCTGAATTAAAACTCAAAACTCAAAATGATGCTTTCATTTTATTGATTTGCTTATTCGTTACTACCACTGTATAAGGCAGTCATCAAGCTGACTTGCCTTCAGGTATAAACTTATCTTTCAGTTTAGTTTTTGTATCAAATGCTGTATTTTTCATCTTTTAAGACTTTGCATTGTCCTCTGATGTAAAGCTGTGGCTGTTAAATATAAAGTTGGAAGAAAGTGGATGCATGTTACTGAGAGACTGACGACAAATACCTCTGTTTTGTTTTCATCACCAGACAAACAAACAACTTTTAAATGAGCAGAGTAGTGTGCTAAATGTCCCACAGGCACATTTAGTAAAGGCTTTTGCTTAGTTATTTATTTATTAACAAGCAGATGCAGTAGAGTAGCTCAATGTATTACACAAGAACTCACACAACAGTCATATTATATTCCTGAAAAGATAGCTGCATCCCTAGTTGTGTGCGTAGAAAATGTTTACGTCCTGTCTGATCTCTCGACTCGCAGCTCGGGTTGGAGCTTCCTGTTTTGCTGGCAAAAGAGAAAACGAGATGGTGCTAAAATTCTTCCACGTTTTGTTCAACTAAAGTGTCCCACCCCAGTCTCAACCTGTCACCTCCTTGGACCCACAGCCAAGAAGCTCACTGTAATAATAATAGCTGTCCTATGAACGGACAACAAAGACTCTGAGAGGTGAGAGGGGACGACAGGTCAACAGTGAGAGATACATGTTTAAACTGAACTGCTCTGCTACTGGTTTAAGGTGCTATCATCTCCTGCTTTATTCTTTTTTCCAAAGTGTTTTAATATGTTAATGTTTGTCCTAAAATGTTCTAAGATTATTGGACAGATCTTAAGTGCTGACAGGTTCAGGCAGCATTCATCCATGATCCTGAGTAAATAACACAGAGTGACTTTTTGAGGCATAGTGAAGCTTGAGTGTATTTATCTGGTCCGTCGCTTCTTTGTATAAACAGCACCCTCTGGTGTTCTGATTTCTGGTTTTACATTCAGATCATTTTTATATTCAAGACATTTTTCCTGCAAAGTAAACTCTTGCAACAGAGTGTATTTGATATTCCCTGGCCAACCAATTTGTGTTCCTTATACTTATGCACTATAAATGTCACAGATTACACTGTAAAACACTCTAAGCATTACAGTCTAATTCTAAAACATGAATGATTGGTTGTGAATATTCTACATTTATATAGGCCTATGGAATATTTCTTCATCATTTGAAAAAGAAAATGTGTAGTTTGTACATTTTTTCATGCTACATTTTTCTGATATTCTGGATAGACATATTTAAAGGTAAATATAAATTAAAAGGGGTTTAAAAATGTGTGCGTTGTCTCACTTAGGGATCCCAAATAGCCTATGAAAAGCTTAAAAAGAATTGTAAATATATTTAGATTAATTACTTTTAATTCCGAGCTTTATATGAGCTATAAAATGTGATGTTCAACAGATAAATGGATTCAGCTCCTGCAGTTTTTCAAGAGTTTAGGGCGACTTGTCTTCGTTTGTTTTTTTAGGAGGACCACTCGACAAGCCCCTCTGGGTTTATTTGGCTCCTCCAGCACATTTCTTTTAAAATGTATACTTTGTTAATTAACTAATCATTATGTACTGTCTGTTTTTCCATTGATCTATTATGTTTTTATTTAATAATTAATAATTTATATTAATAAATCAAAAAAATAAATTGTAGCCTCGCCTTTATATAAAAAAAAAAGAAAAGTAACTCTAAACTTGACGTCCTTTGCGATTTTACTTTGCTGTTTGACAATGATTAGAAAGCACTTTCTTTCTGAACATGTACATCATACAGGACACGGAGTAACCGTGAATTAACCGCCTCTTTCTTTTGGTATGACCCTCTCACGTCAGTCTCAGGGAGCATCATCGACAATACAAACCCCCCCCTCAAAGGCTAACACATGGTATCGTCCAAACATGGCAGCCTCCGTATGGAAGCGCTGTGTGACTGCAGCAGTCAAAGTTAAATGTTTATCTCCTTCTCTTTCAGGTAAACTATCAAACATCAACTACGATATATTTAAAGATATATTTGAGCAAATGTGTTCGTTAAACTCGTGTCTATTTGGCCTTGTTTGGATGGAGGAAGAGCTAAATGTCCCCAGTTCATGTTTTAGTTAGCTGTAGCTGTGAGGTACATGAGCTGGTCACCTGCAAAACTGAGGTTTTACTGTGAAGTTTGTCGTCTTTAATGCGTTTAAACTGATGAGAACCACCTTGTAAACGACTGACTAGCATAAAAACAGTATTATCATTATTATTATTATTGTATAGGTGACCTGACTTACCTTGTGTCTTTGCAGCGAGGAGATGGTTGCTCTCAGCAGCTTACACAGACTCCAGACTGTGGGAGGAGAGACGCAGAGATCCTCGGAGCCTCGGTACGAGTCGAAACCAAGTCACATTTTAACAGTGTCAAACAAATAATGTCAAGCAGTATCATGTTTATGTTATCATCTGCAGGAACCGACAGTATGTTGTGAACCTGTCCATTTAAAGTCAGTCAGATTCGCTCTCACAGTCAACACAACTTTTAGATGATAAGTGTGGCATTGAGTGTGAATGTCAAAAATACGTCTGCCTTTAATGATAATTGCCTGAAAGTATAGGGGACCTTTCCAGTGTACATGTTCAGGTCATAAGTGATGAATGTGTTTAATTCTACTCATTGTTATAAAGGACTTCTCAAGTCTGTCTTAATAGAAGTGTCAGACACGCGTTCAGACAATATCATACCCTGCTTTGATTTCACATCGCACTAAACAGTCAACATGACATTTATAGAAACACACACAATAAAGACATCCTCCTTATGATGGTTTAGGGTTAAGATGCATCCAGCAGTCCTGCGTGTAAGTCAGCTCTGCATGTGCGCCCTGCCAACACAAGGGGGCAGTGTAATACTGCAGGCACATGGTGCACTTAATGATGACTGTTCAGAAGTATGGGAATAATAACTGTGAAGTGTGATCAAATTCAAATTTATAAGGCAAGACATGAGCGCCCAATTTTTTTTAAACGTTTATTTTTGGGCTTTTTATGCCTTTATTTAGAGAGGTCGTATTTGAACCCAGGCGGACCGCTTAGAGGACTATGGCCTCTGTATATGAGGCACACGCGCTAACCACTAGGCCACTGGCGCCCGCTCTTTGTATTTCAAAATGATTTCCAACTCGTGCTGATTGTATTTGGGTTGTTTATGTCGTGTTTTTCAGTTAAGTGTATCACACTGCTATAATGTAAAAAAAACAACATGTTTTTTGGCATAATGTTAAAAAAAAACAAAAAAAACATTCTTAATTGTGTTTTTGTTGTTTCGAAAAATGATCTTATGTTTAATCTTTGAACTCACAGCTCTACTGGCCAACGCCATGGACCGGACATACGAAAGGAATCTCCCCGTCAGCTCTCTTTCCATATCTCGGGTGAGTTGTGTCTGGAGTTCATCTGCCTGTTTTTTGTTTGTTCAGTTATAAACCAAAGTATACGTTTGATTATATAAATCGATTGTAGTAAGGATACGTTGTTTTGCATAACTTTTTTTCTTTTCATCAGTTTGTTGAAAACATTTCATCCCGGGAGGAAGTTGATCAAACGGAGTACTACCTTTACAAGTGAGAAGAGTCTTCAAATATAAATCTAAACTCTGCATCACTTTCTCCGTCTCAACACCATCAACACGTTTCTGTTGCTCCCTTGGTTTTGTGTAGTACCTACTTTTTCCTGCTTCTCTTGTCTCTCTGTTTGGTTTGTCTGTTTTGGTTTAGGTTCAGTCACATGCTTTCTTTGTTCGGGGCAACTCCAGACCTTTCCTGTTTACTCCTTCCCCTGGAATCTGCACCCATTCTTCTAATTACAAGATTTTGTAAATTTCCCCGATCGCACCCACGCTCAGTGCTTATTAGTTTTCATAAACTGATTGGAATTTAAACACTGGCATTTCATTTTGGAGCTACATTCAACATGTCTTTAACAATTATTGCTTGTTATTCAGGATGCAGCTGTCGTGTTTGTTGCTGTCTGTTATGTTGTGTTGATCTTCTGTTTTTTGGAAACCGAGAAAATAGTTCTCCACAAACATAAATGTGTTTTTATGTATTAATTTCTCTTCCTCACGTCTTTCCTAATATTTTATCTTTTACAATAAGAACTGTGATGGATGTATAACTCATGTTTTTTTAAATCACGGCAGGTTTCGCCACAGCCCTAACTGTTGGTATCTGAGAGACTGGACCATTCACGACTGGATCCGACAGTGTCTGAAATACGGGGCGAGGGAAAAGGCCATGCACACGCTTAAAAACAAGGTTCACACATTATTATCCCTCTTAGTTATTACCAAGACTTTAATTAGACACAGAATTAAAATACTTTATAATCCGTGTAAAGGAGTCACATCTGCATAATCAGCAAATACATCAGAAGCTCCTGATCAGGGCTGAACGCTGCAGATATCTGGCAGCGTCACAAAATCAAAGTAACCCCCCAACTCATATTGTCTGAGCAGCACAAAAAAACGTGTTTGACATTTTCAGCCCAGCATGTGCACTCTGCCAAAGTTAGTTATACTATCTGGGAATCAACATGACTTCATTATAACAAACGCAGATAGGACCGTGAGCCCGGGATGTGTTTGTATGGGCACATCTGTTGTTTTGATTGGTGTCTTGTTGTTTGGAGATTAGAGGTCTAGATTTGTGAGATGCATCAGGAACTACATATCCTAAACGTGTTTGTGTGTGTGTGTGTGTGTGTGTGTGTGTAGGTCCAGTATGGAATATTCCCAGATGATTTCTCCTTCAACCTGCTCATAGATTCTCACATTAAAGATGGGGACTTTCAAGGTAAGGCTTTTTAAACGTTAATTCTCAATGTAACCGTTTGAAAGGGAAATTAAGCACAACTCCAGGTTTCCAGATTAGTTTCATATTTACCAAGAAGAAAAACTGACTTGTCGATCAAAATAATGAAATAGTATCGACACAGTTTATTTCCTTTATGTATTGAACACAGAGTCAAAAAAAAAGGAAGCTGATTATTTATGCATCATGGACATTTGTAGTTTAATTTATTCTTAAACAAAGAGTGTAAAAGTGACACCTTTCTGTTGTTGTTTCTGGACAGGTGCGTGCTCTGTGGTTGAAGAGGTAATGCTACAGGAGGCCTTCGACCTTCCCTCCACACAGATCCTGTCTCTGTATGCTCTGGGTAGTTACCTAGCAACCAGACCACAACTCACCGTGAGTGAACAACAACAACATGGGAGAGGTTGTGAAAACAAATCAAAGAATTGCCTTAAAAATACATAATGTTTACCTCTCTGAAGACATCCATTTTCTGTCATCGGAGTGATTAATGGGAGGTTTCATTGAAAGACGCTGTCCAATTAGTTCAAAAAAAAGAAAAAAAAAGTCTGCTTTTGACTGATAAGCATGTGAATGTTGCAGCAAGAATAACATATGTGCTTCAAAATGAAATGCTTGATCCTCGCTGTGTTCAGGTGTCAGAAGAGCGGACGCTGGGAGCATCTCTTTTCATCTGTGGACTGAAGCAAGACAACACTGTCGGACTCAGCGCTCAGCTACTCGGCCTTGCTCTACTAGGTGGGATTTTTCTTTTAGCATTAATTAATTACTGGTATGTCGGTGTCCTTCTCTCTCTCTCTCTCTCTGTTTGTCTCAATGACGCTATTTCTCCTTTTCTCCCATCCAGGTAAAGTGGAGATGTCAAACGGCATTCATGCTGTGTTCAAAGGGGCGCCTCTCTTCTGGGAGCGTGGCTATCTGGGCCGAGTGCTGGCTGTCATGGAGAGAGTGGCTGCTGCCTCTGGTGATGTCAAGCTGTCCAATGACACAGTAAGAACCAAAACAATCAGACGGAGGGTTGGAGGAGGGCTTTTTTCAAGTGTTTGTGAAAACTCCTGTGCGGATTTTTCAGCTGGTTGTGTTTGAGACATTGATACAGATGTCTTTTGATGACCTACAAAACAAACCAGACCATGAGAAAACGTTTTTTTTTTTTTTAATGGTGTCTCATTTCTGGTTAACAGTTTCCTGCACACGATCATCTCCTTAAACGGATAGTCGGCCTATTTTCAACCTATACGTTATCTCAGTTAGATGCACAGTATAAAAAAAATGCATGTTCTCTTTTTATGTGTGGACATGAATCTGTCGTTCTTTCAGCACCAGTGCCGTCATTTGAGGAGGTCAGTGACACAATCTGTGGTCAGGAAGAACTACATATTAGATTTCTTGTCTCCACTCTTTGTTTACATAGCAAACAACCTGCAAAACGATGTTATGAAAAGCAAGAAATGGGATACCCTAGCATATTTTACACTGAAGACTAAACAAGACTAAACAGCAGAAGATATCCAGCAGCAGAGCAGGGCTGCAGCTTCTCGAGGGGTTACATTGTGTTTACACCATAGCGACATATACTATAAACACTGAATTGATTTTAAGACAAGTTTTTGTTGTGCAATGACAAGACGATCTCACACGCACACGCACACGCACACGCACACACACACACACACACACACACACACACACACACGTGATCAACAAACGTCCTAAGAAGTGATCTAATACTTCTTTATCATAAGATGATGATGATGTAGAAATATAGCAACAATCATTGCATAAAACTACACAACATTGATTTCAAAAGTACAAGATAACAAAAAATGTTCTTAGCAAAGCAGGAAAGGTAAAGTAGCATCACGTGCAGCCAGACAGCATTTCTTTCTGCACGTCTTTGGACTTCTTCTCTTAATGTCAGACAAACATATTTTCAAAAATGTTGGACTGACGCTTTTCACATTCATCTTGATTCTGTGTTTACAAGTAAGTGTTGCCAAGGCTACAATATTGAATGTCTCTGAGTCGCACAACAGAAATATGAACAGCTTAGTGTTAGACACAGACAGAATAGCCGCCGCTGTTGTTATTATCCAGGTGGAGTCTATGACGCAGACCGGCCTCATCAGCTGAGATTAAACACACGCTGTCATATCATTGATACTTTCACATGTATGCATGGACACACAGTGGGGTGCAGCGCCTGTAATCTGGCTTTAGCTGTCTGCTCTAATAGTTCCGCTTTGTCCACGTTTAATGAGATTTTGAAGAGCCTGGAGTGCTGAGGATGTCTGTGAGAATCACTGCTACAGGAACCAAGCGGCCTGAGCCAGACGGCTGCAACGCAATAATGTAGACAGAGCAGATAACACTGCAGGACAGAGAGGAAATATTACACCTCAAATGAAGGTGCTGGTGTCTGCCGCCTCAAGTGACAGTTAATATTACCTCTTCCTAGGATTTAGAGGTGAGTTGTCAGGTGAGGTGTTCAGCCTCTTTCATCATCACCTTAACATTTTGAGTTAGAAAATGAATCTTCTCCTTCTTAAAAAGTTTGCAATATTGAACTTTGACTCATAGAAACCCGGAGAGGAAATGCATCCACACATTTTATTAACTCTGTTTTCACACGATAAAGAGACATTTCTGGAGATCTCAGCTTACTTATTTTATTATCTTGAGATAACAGCTTGTTTTCTCGAAATAATGAGATAATGAAATAGTAGGCTGAGCCGGGCCATTGCCCACACTAATGAGGTTAATTAAGCCTATTTGTTTATATTGGGCTCTGGGGAGAAGAGTTGAATAAGTCGATATCAAGTCTGTAGATTTACGTGACTTGATATACAGCTATGAATACTTTTAGGCAGGAATAGCTGTGTTTGTTGAATGTGCAAATACAATAAGTACAAAATAATAATCTTTCTGGGTAATTCATCTTTGTTTTCATGATTCTGCAGCTGGACTGCGTGAATGCTTTGCTGCAGGAGCTCTCGTCCGCCTCAGACTCAGACTCGTCTGGAGACGAATCAGAGGGTGAAGAGGACAAGAAAAGGGAAGAGGTGGATGAAGATGAACAAGCCGAACATGCTAAGCTACCTCAATATGTCAGCAGATTCAAGGTGAGGTTGTTTATGTGGGTCACATGCTTTCTTTTTTATTGCAGAAACAGAGTTTACATCAATTTCAGGGCAAATAATAAATGTGTATAGAACATTTGTTTCTGGAGTAAAATCCAGAGTAAGATCTGAAGGGGAAGCGTACTGAAGGTTATTTTTAATTGATCCTTTAAGTGCAATTCAAATGTAATTGAACTTGAACAATAACAAAGCCCACAATCAAGTAAGAGACTTATTACAACCATAGTCTATTTGATCATCACACACAAAGACCAAAGTCTGTGCATGTGATGATGAAATACCTTTGACCAAACTAAATTTAAAAAAATTGGCTCATTTCATGAAATTTTCTTGCTGTGTCAACAAAAAAGGGAAAGTTGGATCAGATGCCTCACTGTTTTCACTATTCTACTAGCTCTGTTTTAAAAGATGATTGATGTTATTTTCTCATTTTGGGGTTTAATGAATAAAAGGTACAGAAAGTTTTGGACTTGCTCGAGTAGATCGCTTCAGCAGGCAGACAGGAAATGGAGCAAAATGTAATCCTTAGTGCTGCACATTATCAAAACCCGGCCTCTAAAGATGTTTGTTTTTTTGCTACTGGGAGGTTCAAATTTATATATTTGGGTCTAGCCTTATTATGGAAAGGGGCCTACAGAGAGAGCCTTTTCTGTTAGGACTGAGATCCTTTACTCTTGTTGGAGCGAAGTTATGAAGGTAAAGGACAATGGAAATGTTTTTCCAGCGATTGGCTCAATAAACTTGTCATTAGCACAAAAAAAAAAAACAAGCTTGGTGACCTTGCCTGATCCAGTGTCAGCAGTTACCCTTTAAAAATATCCCGTGGAGTTTGTTTGTCTACATTCTGTAACATGCACCAGTACTTGGCTGCGTCCTTCTTCTTTTCCTCCTTTGTTGCTGCTTTGTTTTTTTTTCTTCCTTATTTTATTTTTAGATGTTACAGCCACCTGTTGATCAGCAGACAAGGATGGCAGCATGGTCTCAAATACAAATATTTCTTAATAATTCAATAACTTCCAAGCACCCTTAAGTCATCTCTGTCTTACCAGTCTTTGATTTCTGATACTGTTTAGTGAGATCTGGTTGTTGCCGTGTTTCTTTAAGGAATTCTGTCTAAATTCAGCCGTACAAAACAAGATAAAACATCAATTCCTCGTCTGCATCACACAACATATATGGATACAAAGTTCTGTGTTTTACTAGAGTTATATCAATCAATTTAATAAGGATTCGAGCTGGAATAGTTATTTTATTGTTTGAAATGAAGTCAGCAGAGATGGCCATGTGAGCAGCTTCATTATGTATTTGCTTCTGTGAGCATTACTTTCTAATACGAGATGTCGGCCCTCAGATTTCTTAATCAGAACATCCAGACTTCTATGTTTGTACAGACTGAACTGTAGATAATCAATCCCTCTCTGGGATTTAGGAATGTTTTCTGAGAAGCTGGAGCATTTTAAAAATGTATTGCAAAGAGAATGAACTGATTAGGAGAGTTTCATACAAATGAATAAAATGACATGATTTGGGCCACTTGTTGGTGTTTTGACATCTTTCTGTTCCTTTTTTTTCTTTTTTTTTCTTTTTTTTTTACTTCAGGAACTGAGGAGCGAGCTGGAGTCTCAGGGTAAAGTGGACTCTGCCTCCTTTCAGGCTTTGGTTAGCGCTCTGGCCCAGCAGAACCTGGCGGCTGCAGAGAAACCGGACTTGGAGCAGTATGAGAGGCGGATGCAGGACTGGGAGGCCGAGAAGAGGCAGCTGATCCAGAGAGAAAAGGAGATGAGGGAGAAGGCAGAGCAGGAGAAACAGGAGCGGTTAGCTGCACAGGCTGCAGCCCAGCAAGCATAGAGACCTGTCTGTTAAAATAGTGAATACTCTGGAGATCATAAGACTTCTATGTCTGTAAAATTTTGAAACATTAACATTGTCACCATCGCATTTGCATGTTTCACCAGTTTTTTTTTGAAGTGTTGATTATTGTGTCTTCATGTGATATGTATTGCTCTGTTTTTTGATAAATAGGGCGAATAAAAATGTGTTTACGGATGTGAAATAGACTTCTTGTTTCTTTAAGGAATTCTGTCTAAAATGCATTATTTATTTTTCCTTGACTGCGGAGGATCATTATTGGAACGTATGCACACATTGTTAATCGTGGCGGTCGGATGACCTCATGTAAGCAAAAAAGAAGCAAAGCTGGGAAAGATCTTACCATCACATCCTCCCACTCCTTTTCCTCTCTGCCTGCGGTCATCTGCGTTTGTGTGTGTGTGGGTGAATGTGTGTGTCGAAAGCATCCTTGGAAGTTTTTTCACGGGGGAGTGAAAAGTGTATTGCACTGAAAAATTTGCTGATAACCAATCAGGACAAAACCAAAATCCCTGCATTCGGAAGGAATGCATTTATTATTAGAAACCTTCAGTCCATGGTGGAAAACATGCATTAAACATGGTGCATAGGTGGTTATTTAAAAAAAAAACGGACACAGAGAGCACCTCAATGTTTGTAGAAAAAGTCAAATATCAACCTGAGAGTGCAGTGACAACAAATACACTTAACACAGCACGTTAGCGTGGCAAATTGAGTAGAGCCTGGCCTGTTTGTACTCCACAGAAAGATAAGATTATAGATCTCTGGAAAAGAAAACGCTGTTGTGGTGGTGCACATAATGCATTCATTCCACATTATGTTGCAGCTATTCAGTATTCAGAGCATGATCTTGGGAAACCGCCTGGTATGCAGTCCAGGATGAATAAGAACCGCATACCGTTGAAACAAGAACCATTGTGGTGCTGAGGCTCCTGACTGACTGCTCCTCTGAGAGCGGCTCTTCACTCATAGTCAGTGTTTAGTTATTCAATATTAAATGTCATTCAGCTGTTTGAAGGAAGTCAATATTTCTGAGATCTTTTGGGTTTTACTGTTTTTAGTTTTAAAGGGAACTACACTTTACAAAACAACTTGAAAATGAGAAAGATCAAATGATCATTCATATATGGTCAGTTAGCTCAGAAAGGTAGAATAATGTTGTGTACATACATAAAGAAGTTAAAGCCAGGGTTGGTCATTTTCGAAAACTAGCATGATTTTGAAATTAGCATTCCCTAAATGTGCTCCGTCTACACCCACCCCCTCCCGCCTGTGCTCACTCAAAAGCCACGCCCCTCACTGACATGCACGAGCGCCGTTCCTCCAGAAGCGGACCTCAGCTCAATGCTTGCAATGTGTTGAAACTACATCGTCTCATTCAGCGGTAAGTAAACACTAAACTTTCTCATGTTTTCTTACATGTAAAAAAAAAAAAACCTGACAATCTTACTGATCACAACGGCCAACGACAAACTCACAGTATAAACTGTGAGTGTTGGCTAGTGCAGGCATGGGGTAGAAAACAAGCAGGGAGACAGGGAGTCGTGATTGGTTCATCAGATTGGTACCTCATGTCAGACATTGGTCGAAGTTTTTACATGCTTACAAACTGCTACAGATGACGGATTTTCTTCGTTCCTTTTTCAGAGCACATGAGTTATTATTTCTGTCAGGACCTAAAGACAATTTCTACCAAAGTCTATCTGGAGAAAATGACCAACCTTGCCTTTTAGAAGCTGTTGTGTTTCACATTTCATTATTTCCACCAGAGGTTTAAAGATCGATCAGGCTATTACACAACTGTCATTGTTGATAATCAGCCTCTTTTCACCTCTGATGAATAAAATGGGCTCCACAGCTTTCTCTCCTACAGTGTTTACACCCTGCACCCTTAATGATGCTGTATGGGGCCAACTAGTTCATCTAATCAACACAACAAAATACAGACCTTAAAATTCCCAAATCATGGGATTCATCGTTAATGTACACCAGAAGGACTAAATAATCAAACAAATATCAACTGGAGACAAAATGAACAGACAACACATCACACAAATCCCTGACTGAGAGGCTCCTTTATATTGTGATTGACTCGGACCAAACAGCACTCACTATTATTTATGCGACATTGAGGTATTGATTTTTACCTGTTCTATAGGCGAAGTGTTTTCTTCTGTCACTTTAAAAACAATGAAAACAACACGTGATACCATTAACTTGTTTAACTATTGTTCACATGTCACATGACTGTGCTGTGACTGTCACGTCCTTCTTGCTGCTTTAATCAAGGCGTGAAGTGGAAAGGGGAAATTAGATAAGGCCATGAAATTATCTTTTTAAACTATCTTATAACTGCAGTCTTTTATCTTTCTGCAGCTTGCCTTGTGCTATTTTTTTTAGTCAGATTATTATCTACCACTAATAAAAGCTTTCACCGTGTAATTACTCTGGACAATGAATTAGCTCTTATCGCTCTCGAAGCCTCAAGCTCGATATAAAACCACTGGTTCAAAAGTAACACCTCTGTTTACCTTCACTGCTTGTGCAAGAGAGGCTTTCTGGACGTCACTTTTCAGGGTTTTTTGATCAGTCAGGTGAGATGTGAAGATGATCAGGAAGTTTGACATCCACATCACCGGTTTTCTTGATGCACACAGCCTTTTTCAGCGTGTTAAAAGAGCTGTATGTGTTTTCCTAGGGGCGGCGGTGGGGGGGGCTTTGCTGGGAAACTGGGTTGTTTGAGTTTTGCAAACATTACAGGAGAAAAGTGGACACATTATAGACACCATTGTTGGACTGTGATTCTGCTCACACCGGTCATCTTTACCAGAAAATCCTCGCCGTGCATATAAACACTTCAGCACATCCACATCGCACATCATTTGTACATTTCTAACCAGTTACAGCAGAGGTTTTATCCTCCCAAGGCTCAAGTTAGAACTTTTCATCTAAATGCAAATATATGTTTTGTTTTGTCATCTCTACCAGGACTCCTTAGTGGTTGAAATAAAACACTTCAGCACATCCACATCTTATCTCTTTTGGGTTTGGTACATGACTTTCTCTGAGAACAGTACCTCCTTGTTAATGCATAATGTGTGCATCTTTAACCACTTATAGAAGAAGTTGTATCCTGCCATGGCTCAAGTTAATACTTGTCATCTAAATGCAAACTATGTTTTGTTTCTTCTTTGATCCTTTCACGTAAATCAACAGGATTGGATTCCCTTTCTTGATTTTAAGTGTGATTTGATCTTTACTGGTTGACCGTTGTATCCTGTTCTTTTAAAGCAGATTACAGGATAAGAGCAGCAGCTGGTTTTATTGCTCTTGGCCAGAGTCATAAAAAAAGGTCCACTTCTTCATATTTAACATTTTAAAAAGATAAGTGAAAACCAATAATGTTTAAATGATCTGTTGGTTTGTTTTCCGGGTATGCGTGGCTTTTATGTGTCCTGACATCTGTGTATTGCTCTCATATTAAACTAATAACTGAGGCAGATCTAAATTTGATCGAGATAGAGATTTGATTTATTTGGTGTCTGATTCATTTGACTGTAATTGTGTCATCTTCTGATTAAAGCGTAACCTTTTCAAGCTACTCAAAGGTTTGCATCAAGTGTTTTGATTGTATCTGATTAATTGAAGAATATAAAAAACCCTTATAAAGTAAAGAGCAGAATCAATGTATTTATTCACGTCTTATCAAGCTTCACCTTCTAACTTCTTTTGACCTGTATCTGACATTATCCTGCTGTCTTCCTCATCTTTTTATCACGCTGTCAATTTCTTCATTGGCCAATTAACTTCTGTTCACGTTACTCTCGTTCAAGTCATTGGCACCCCACTGAGGAATCATGAAGGGGTGACAAGGTGTATTAAATTTCCAGGAAAATCCATGTAAAGCACTGAATTTTTCAAATAAATATTTGACTACTTATCACCAGGGATTCAATAATTGTATCAAACAAGCCAGGACGACAATCTATTGCCAAATGATATATTGCCCCACTGCTAATTTCTGTTTACAATAAAAACATCTGTTTCCATCCGTGGAATGAGCCAGCGCAAAGTGTAGTTTCCTTAAGTGGTGAAGTTCTTTTGTTTATTCAGCTTTACCACGTGCAAGGATTGAGCCATTTTTATTCAACATTTTCCGTCATAATTCTCCTCGAGACACTCTGGATTTTCACGCCATCCCTGAGTCCTTAAGGCCACCAATGACAGCTGTGATTGGTTTAAAGAAACACAAACAACCCAGATAGTTTAGTTTCCCCCTTTAGAACAGAATTATAATCTGTTAGATAGATAGGTCTGGCTATGCAATCACAATTATAGTGGATGTTGCAGACAATTCCCCACTCCCCAGGTCTCTAGGTTGTTGTTGATTTTAAATGCAAAGTTTCTTCCATTATAACGGGCTCACACAAGTTCACAAAGATCACCCAGAGTGTCCTTAATGAAGCCACCAACTCAGTAGTTTGAATATAAATGAGCGTATTTAATGAGATGGAGTGTTTGTGTGTTTTGCTCATTTGCTTCGTTTTCACCCTCTGGCACTGAGTTTACACCGTTGTCCTTAATATATGCAGGATCAGCAGTGTGACATGCTGTATGCTCTTTTTTTTCCATTGTGCTCCAATGGAGTGCTCGGGTCGCCTGGTCTTGTAAAGATTAGCGGTAAATGTCCTAAAATGTCTCTCCCTGGTAATGATCAACCACATTAATGTCTACCAGAACAAATACTCTTGTTCAACAATGTGCAGTGATGTTTGATTCAGTCTGTTTTTCCTAAATCTTAAGTGTTTGGATTTACACTTTTAAAGCAACTTCCAATGTTCTTGATGTTTAACTGTAGCTATGAAATGAGTCGGGCACAAAGGGTGATCGGGAAAAAAACTTTTCACACTGGACAGGCTTTTCAGTCCTACATCCTCAAGGGTACACTGTCCCCTCTGGGTTTGAGGGAGCCAGCTGATGACTGTAAACAACAATATAAACAGAAATGTTGACTTTAGATGTATGTTTCCTGCTCATATCCATCAAGGTCATATTTACCAATGGTCAACACAATGCATCTATATTTTCAGGATTTAGATCAGACATGAATACATTTGATGACTGCTTGAAAAATCCAAACAATAAATGAGAAAGTTAACTCTGAAGAATCTCAAAAAGCACATT